AGATAAAAATTGTGACCTCTATAGGGTCCACAACCTTGATATACCATATTTTTACGCTATTTGAGAACGAACGGCGGTCATTTTGTCTGTCAATTTTCATGAAATTCGAACTCAGCCGTCCTTAGGATGTATCGGTGATATAATAATACGTTTTTTTAAATCGGATAAAAATTATTACCTCTATAGGGTCCACAAGCTAAAAATGCGATTTTTCGTACAAACAGGGAAATAATCCATGAAGTTTCGATCCGATACATGCCAATATCGAAAGCAGCCAAGATCTTTTGGAAATAAACCTATATTTCAAGTTTCGTCAAAATCGGATAAGAATTGTGAACTGTAGAGTGTCCACAAACAAATTGTGGATGGACGGACGGACGTCCGGACGGACAGGGGTGACGACAATATACGTCTACATGAAAATGTGGGCATATAAAAAAAGGAGATTTTTCGACAATCAGGGGCCATAATTCAGGAAGTTACGATTCGATATGCGCAAATATTGAGAGAAACCAAGATCTTTGGGTTTTAAACGTGCATTTTAAGTTTCATCAAAATCGGATTAAAATTGTGACCTCTACTGGGTCCACAACCATATATACCATATTTTTACAATATTCATGTACAAGCGGCGGCCATTTTGTCCGTCAGTTTTGGGCCAATTTTCACGAAATTCGAATTCAGCCTTCATTGCGTTGTAACTGAGATCTTTGGGTTATAAACTTACATTTCAAGTTTCAACAAAATCGGATAAAAATTGTGACCTCTATAGGGTCCAAAACCTTGATATACCATATTTTTATGCTATTTGAGAATGAACGGCGGCCATTTTGTCTGTCAATTTTGGGCCGATTTTCACGATATTCAAACTCAGCCGTCCTTAGGGTGTAACGGTGATATACTAAAACGTTGATATATTAAAACGTTTTTTTAAATTGGATAAAAATTGTGACCTCTGGAGGGACCAAAAGCCCAAAACACGATTTTTCGTACAATCAGGGGCCATAATTCAGGAAGTTACGATCTGATATGCGCAAATATCTAAAGGAACCAAGATCTGTGGGTTATAAACGTGCATTGCAAGTTTCATCAAAATCGGGTCAAAATTGTGACCTCTAGAGTGTCCACAAGCTAAAAACGTGATTTTTCGTACAATCAGGGGCCATAATCCATGAAGTTATGGTCTGATACATGCCAATATCGAAAGGAACCTAGATCTTAGGGACATAAAGCTATATTTCAAGTTTCATTGAAATCAGATAAAAATTGTAACTTGTAGAGTGTCCACAAACAAATTGTGGACGGACGGACAAACAGGGGCGAAGACAATATACGTCCACATGAAAATGTGGGCGTATAAAAACGTTTTAGTGTATCACCGTTACACCTTAAGGATGGTTGAGTACGAGGGGGGGCCATTTTGTCTGTCGTTTTGGTCTGATTTTTACGAAATTCGAACTCAACCATCCTTAGGGTGTAAGGGTAATATATTCAAACGGTTATATTTCAAGTTTCAATAAAATCGGATAAAAATTATTGTGACCTCTATAGGGTCCACAAGCTAACCAGCGGCTGCCAGGCAGGATACGCCCACATTTTCGAGAGATGGATAGAGAACAAGCTAAAAAGAAAGTGATTTTTCCTACAATCAAGGGCCATAATTCAGGAAATTACAATCCGATATGCGCAAATATCGAAAGGAACCAAGATCTTTGGGTTATAAACTTACATTTCAAGTTTCAACAAAATCGAATAACCAGCGGCTGCCAGGCAGGATACGCCCACATTTTCGAGAGATGGATAGAGAAGCTAAAAAGAAAGTGATTTTTCCTACGATCAAGGGCCATAATTGAGGTAATTACAATTCGATATGCGCAAACATCGAAAGGAACCGAGATCTTTGGGTTATAAACTTACATTTCAAGTTTCAGGAAAATCGGATAAAAATTGTGACCTCTATAGGGTCTACAACCTTGATATACCATATTTTTTTGCTATTTGAGAACAAGGGGCGGCGATTTTGTATGTCAGTTTTGGGACGATTTTCACGAAATTCGAATGCAGCTGTCCTTAGGGTGTAACGGTGATATACTAAAATGTTTGTTCTAAATCGATAAAAATTATGATCTCTATAGGGTCCACAACCTAAAATTGCAATTTTTCCTACAATCAAGGGCCATAATTCAGAAAATTTCAATATGATATGCGCAAATATCGAAAGGAACCAAGATCTTTGGGTTATAAACTTACATTTCAAGTTTCAAGAAAATCGGATAAAAATTGTGACCTCTATAGGGTCCACAACCTTGATATACCATATTTTTTTGCTATTTGAAAACGAACGGCGGCCATTTTGTCTGTCAATTTTGGGCCGATTTTCACGAAATTTGAACACAGCTGTCCTTAGGGTGTAATGGTGATATACTAAAACGTTTTTTTTAAATCGGATAAAAATTATGACCTCTATAGGGTCTACAAGCTAAAAACGTGATTTTTCGTACAATCAGGGGCCATAATTCAGGAAGTTACGGTCCGATATGCGCGAATATCGATAGGAACCGAGATCTTTAGATTATAAACTTACATTTCAAGTTTCAACAAAATCGAATTAAAATTGTGACCTCTATAGGGTCCACAACCTTGATATACCATATTAATATTGAAAGGAACCGAGATCTTTGGGTTATAAACTAACATTTCAAGTTTCAACAAAATCGGCTAAAAATTGTGACCTCTATAGGGTCCACAACCTTTATATACCATATTTTTATGCTATTTGAGAATGAACGGCGGCCATTTTGTCTGTCAATTATGATCCGATTTTCACAAAATTCGAACTCAGTTGTCCTTAGGGTGTAACGGTGATATATTAATACGTTTTTTTAAATCGGATAAAAATTATGACCGCTATAGGGTCCACAAGCTAAAAACCGATTTTTCGTACAATCAGGGGCCATAATTCACGAAGTTACTGTCTGATATGCGTGAATATCGAAAGGAACCGAGATCTTTAGGTTATAAACCTACATTTCAAGTTTCAACACAATCGGATAAAAATTGTGACCTCTATAGGGTCCACAAGCTAAAAACGAGATTTTTCGTACAAACATGGGCCATAATCCATGAAGTTTCGATCCGATACATGCCAATACTGAAAGCAGCCGAGATCTTTTGGAGATAAACCTATATTTCAAGTTTTGTCAAAATCGGATAAGAATTGTGACCTGTAGAGTGTCCACAAACAATTGTGGTCGGACGGACAGGGGCGACGACAATATACGTCCACATGAAAATGTGGGCGTATAAAAACATAATTTTTCATACAATCAGGGGCCATAATCCATGAAGTTACCATCCGATACATGCCAATATCGAAAGGAACCGAGATCTTATGGAGATAAACCTATATTTCAAGTTTCGTTGAAATCGGATAAGAATTGTGACCTGTAGAGTGTCCACAAACAATTGTGGACGGACTGACAGGGGTGACGACAATATACATCCACATCAGTGATGGGATTTTGCCCGTATATTCCGGACATATCCGACGCTATTTTCCAAACGTCCTAAATTGTCCGACCAGGAATATGCCCAAACGGACATCAAGACATGGTAAATAATATTCAAAATTCCAAAATTAATATAGTGGACTGAGTGTATAACTATTACTCAAGCCCGATTATTGTTGATAATAGGCTGTATAAATTAGGTAATTAAGTGATCAAAGTATTTATCGTTTTATACCGTCTATATGGCTACCTTGATTAACTACTTAATCTGCCTGGATTGGCTGACTTAATTCTTTGTCGGACGATTCATCAATTCAATCCTGAACAGAAGTCATTGCTTCTCCTTTGTCGGACTATATATCAATCCAATAAACTTAATCTACGTGATTAACCCGTGATTTCTCCATTGTCTCATGCTTTAATCTCCTTGATTTCGGCCGTAGACATTATTCATATATGTCAGATATCCTAATAGTATAGAACACCCCAAATGAATATACATTATGTCCGATAACTTGTCTGTGATATTTCTTCAGTAGCAGCTGAAGTTAAATAAAGCTATTTCACACACACGCAAAATGAAAGTAGAAATCTCGCGAGACACGTGGAATTAAGAGGTGTAAACGTGCCGAATCTAATACGTCTGATGTCGGGAGAAAAGATTCTATTTTGATGGCATATTGTCGGATTTATGATCATATTTTGAATGGGGTTTATGTTTTTAAATAAATAAATAAACAAGCTAAGAAATGTTGACGAATATTTTGATTGGAATAACGTAAGTAGTTACGGTAATTGTTTTAGACGATAGCGCGTGCTTAGAGTCGAATGGGATTATTTAGCAGTTGGTGTCACTCGCTCGTTGTATTAGAGCAACATTTACTACGGTTTACGGCCAAATAAATTTCGGGGTTTCATTTTTTTTACCTTCCATATATAAATCGAAACGGAGTATAAGACGAATGACGGACTTTGCTGAAAAATGTATCGGCGTATAAAAATTCCTTCGTTCCAATTTCACAAATTTTGAACCCTGCCAAAGTCTGTCCGATTCGACCAATCTAAGATTATTATGATGTGAATTGTTCAACTTTATTTTTCTATTCCCTTCTATTGTAATGCGTATGTAAAGAACATGTCAATATCTGAGTTATGCATGTGTGTCTCGGGGGGTGGGGGGGGTGTTAGTCTTTGTCTTGTATCCGGCGACCGTGTAACGTCTGGGTATGGTGAAAGCCTTCAGCTTTGCGAGCAAGTCTAGTTCATTTTGTTATTGTTTTATTATTGTGAACCTTAGGGGCGCTTACTTGGTCCCATGTAATAAATCTGTGCCTCTATAGTACATATAATCTTTATGAGTAAAGCAAATCATACAATCATACAAACAAAATTGTATGATTTCCAATTTTCAAACAAAATAAATAAAAATTATCCATATAATATAGATTTAATGTGAAAGAGGATTGTTAAAAAGTATCATCTATATCTAACCTTATCTCCCAACATAGCTTCAGGTAAACTCCAATATAAAATATTATTGACATCATTTTCAGGAACTTTAACACTTTTAATGCCAGTTGCTATTGCATCATAGCCAAAAAATTTATAAACCATATGTTCAGCAGATGGGTTAATAAGTATTCGCTGTACAGGTAGATTGATCTGTAAACAATAATAATAATATTCCAAGTTACATATCTATATTTGGAACTCTGATGACCAATTCTGCACTTGAACGGATCTACAAATCTGGCTACAACAAAATGACCGTCATTTACCTAACAGTAAATTATACTTTACTTGTAAAACAAGGGGGTTTAATTTATTTGAAAAGGGATGGGTGAAATCAATGGCCGAGTGGATTAACGATTGCACTTATATCATAAGACACGTCACTGAGTCAAGGGTTTGTCGCTTAAAAATGAGCTATTACATGACAAGGAGTAGGGTTGACTGCCTAAAACCGTGGTTTTTCTCTGGGTCCTTGACTTTCCTCCTTGAAAAATAAATATACCATATGTTAGTCCCAAAATGACCTTCTCTTGAACTCATGTTTAAATGAACTTACTGTTGTCCATGCATATGAAGATTGTTGACAAGTCTGACTTCTGCCAAAACAGAAGCATTGTGTACAGCCATATGGATTTGTTAGATCAAAACCAAATGAGTTTCTTTTACAGTTGTCACATCGTCTTCCTTCTACATTCAACTAAAACATTAAACAAGCAGTTGCCATGCAAGATATGCCCACATTTTGAAAGAGATGGACAGAGAACAAGCTAAAAAAAAAACCCAAGATTTTTCTTACAATCAGGGGCCATACAGTGTGATATGAAGGATATTTTGCCCGGACAGCGGCGCTACAGCCTACTCTTATATCGAATTCCAAGTGCCAAGGAATGTTTTAAGTGCACGCCAATGTGTACATGGGACCTCGGTTTTTCGTCTCATCACTGACAAGGGGGAACCACGGCAGAAAATCTGGATGGACTTTCCCGGCCAATGCAGGGATCGAACAACCTGATGTCCAGGCTAGAGAGCCAGCGTCTTTCCCACTTAGCCACCATGGCACGACGGATGGACGAACAGACGTTCGGACAGGGGCGACGACAATATACGTCCACATGAAAATACGGGCGTATAAAAATCTACATGTAGCTACATGTCGCCTCTGCAACTAACTTATCTTCAAGGCCAATCACGTCACAAATTATCCTAAGATAGGTTGCCAGGCAGATTGGATGATAACTTGGTTCACAAGGTGCAACAATGAGAAACAAGGACAATAACTCTAGATGCAATTAATGGAATTTGCTGAAATTCAATAAGCTTCTTCGTTTCACTAATTTAAGTGATGGATATAAATTTGTTACAAATCGCATGATAATTTTTTGTCTTTAGAACGTTCACAAGGTGCAACAAAGTGAAACAAGGGACAAAACCTCCAGAAGTAATTAACAGTAATTGCTGAAATTCAATAGGCTTCTTTGTTTCACTAGTATATGTGATGCATATCAATTTCATACAGATCGGATTATAACTTATGTCATTAGAGCGTTCACAAGGTGCAACAAAGTGAAACAAGGGCCATAACTCCAGAAGAAATTAACGGAAATTATCAAAAATATATAGCCTTCTTCATCTCACTAATGTAAACAACATATACTATTCAAAAAAAGTAGGGGATATTTGATTTTTAAGTGTTATTAAAGTCACCTAATGAAACTGACGAAGAAACAAATGACAAAATGAAATGAAGTTCACATTCATCGATTTATTCCAAATGATCGTTAGACTAAGTAAGGCACAGACTGACCATTATAAGGGTAAAATGATACCCGGGGTCAAACAGCAAAGTTACCACAGCATCACAACCAAGTCAGTAACGGGTAAATCCTCCTCTGTTTGCCAAACAAGCATTGATCCGACGTGGCATACTCCTAATGAGACGTCTAAGGTCATTTTGGTCCAGATTGTCCCATTCCTGTTGCAACGCAGCAGCAAGTTCTTGGACATTGGCAGGACGCTGTTGACGTTGACGTAACCTCTGTCCAAGCATGTCCCAGACATGCTCGATGGGGGAGAGGTCGGGACTCAGTGCTGGCCAAGGTAATGTGGTGATGTTCTGTTGTTGGAGGTAACCTGTAACGATCCTGGCCCTGTGACATCTTGCGTTGTCATCCTGGAAGATGAAACGGCGGCCATGACGTCGTGCGAACGGCACAACATGGACTGCCAAGATGTTGTCCCGGTAGTACTGGCCTGTAACACGCCCTGCAACAACATGTAAAGCCGTTCTTCCAGCAACAGTGATGCCTCCCCACACCATAACAGAACCACCCCCAAATCGATCATGTCTGATGACGTTAACGTCTTGGAAGCGCTCGTTTCGACGACGCCACACCCTCCTACGTCTGTCCAAAAAATCAACAGTGAACCTTGACTCATCTGAAAACATCACATTGCTCCAGCGTCGATTATCCCAGTGTTGACGATCTCTACACCAACGACGTCTTGCCTGAATGTGATGATCTCTCAAACAAGGGATCACGCGAGGACGTCGGGCGCGAAGGTGACCCCTATGCAGTCGATTCCGAATCGTCTGGCCACTCACTCTCACACCAGTGTCTGTTTGAAGACGAGCGCTGATCTGATTTGCTGTGATGACACGATTTCTCAAGGCCAAGGTACGGATAAATCGATCCTGGGCTTGAGTTGTCGCCCTTGGTCGACCTGAGCGTGGTCTGTCCTGTACAGATTGTGTATCACGGTATCTGGACCATAGCCTGCTTATGAAAGACTGAGAAACATTCATCGTCCGCGCCACAACCGCCTGTGTTGTGCCGATCTGTAGCATGCCAAGGGCACGTAACCTTTCATTTTGGGTAAGCCGACGCATATCAAAATTTGTTTTCTGGTCACTAAAACAATTAAACTGATGTTTCCACCCTGGAATTCAATGCCACAATGACTGTAACATGCAAAGTCAGAGTCGTGCAAATCTTGGGTTGGACCCCCATGATGATCCCAAGCATCACCTGCATTCCATGCGGTAGCTATTGGTGCGTTTGGGCGTCACATGTAACTGGAAATGTTTCTTCTGTTAGGTTCTATAGTGACTTTTTTCGTAGTCATTTGCATATTTTAGTATTATGCCCCCAAAATCAAATATCCCCTACTTTTTTTGAATAGTATATATCAATTCCAAAACAATCAGATGATAAACGGATGGGGACGACGGCAATATACAACCACATTTCCATGCAGCCATATAATAATTATATTGTTCCATTTAAACATTTTTTATTTCTTTGACATGGGCAAGGTAAAAAATTTCTTGAATCTGCATCTGTTTTGGGTCAAGATTACACTTGGAATCTGCCAAGTATCAATAATTTAACAAAATCAGGCTTTAAATTGAATATAAAGGCCAATTATTCAATCCCCAATACAGGTAACTACACCATTGGAAATGTATGCATTATGAAATAATAAGTATTTGATTTTGTCGAATTTTCGAGTAAATCATACATAAATTTTATTTTTGGACATTATTTTGAGTGTTTTAAATGGCTATGTTAATGGGGAAATGAGCTGTTGGCAATTTCATACTAGGCACAATAATTATTTACTAATAATTAAATTAGGTCAACTAAATATGACTTCGGGATATGTATCTAATTTATAATTTAGTTATATATAAATGGATATTTCATAATGTTATTGCTACAAACTATTTTTAAACAGATGAAAACAAGCATAGATGGTGTGAAATTAGTTATTATTAATTGTCTGTGTTAGCTAATAACTTTGCTAGTCTACAACTGTACATCCCAGTTCTGTGTAAACTGGAATTCATCACTGCTTTTCGCAGTATTTATTCCTAGTTAATTCATTTCATCAGAACTAAATATATGTGAGCATTGTTGTCTTAAGTAAATTTACTGAAAAATGAAAGGAGCTAAGTTTCTAACTCAATATTTTCCATAATATTCGAAATTAAAACCACGAATTAGAATTCAATATTGATCAATTTCGATCAATATTGATGTTGTTATCTTGACGTGAAACTATAGGATCCTATAATATCCAATATTTAAAACACAATTACTGTCTGTTCCAGGCAACACTACGACTCGAAAATTGCTTGCTATTTCTTCAATTTTTAATTAAAATGGTTAAAATTTAACGACCTACCTGAAATTGTCACCCCTTTACTATCTACCGCACGTTAACTAATTTCAGACCAAGCTATATAACCTTTCTCTCTTGAAAAATCGTTGTTTATTTATTTCGCGGTAATGAAGACAGCCATGCTTGACCTAGTTATTTGGAATAAACCAAATCGAACAGGGGTGTGGATTTGACTTGGGGTTGTTTCGTCCTACTTGCATGTTTAAATAGTTGTTTCGGCTCAGTAGAATATAATTTGCTTTAATAAGCTATTTACGGGAGGTAATATAAATTTGCTAAACAGTTGTTTACTCCACTGCCTTAGATATTAAATTGGCAGCCCCAGTCCCGTGGCTTTTCGAAATTGATATAAACTACATATAAAGTTTGACACCATATTGTAGTGACACGTCATGGAAATTTGGAAGTAGGCTAAATGACAATTCAAACGAATTGTCTATCTGGCTTTAGAATAATAGATATATAACTGTCGATTTTATTTGGCTTTGTACGATTTTTAATACTATTTTCAGACCGCCAAATCGTGGTCTTGTAGCACTTTTTCGAAATATATATACCTTGGTGGACCACCATAGTTATGGCAATATATTGATAGAGTTTTCTTTTCTTTTTTAAAAGATTTAATCCAATTGAAAGGGGGTGCTCCTAAGGTATTTTTATATATATAGCCTACTCTTTTTCTTGTTTGATTTTGTGAAATGTCCCTAAGCAAGTGATAATATGACAGACAACGGAATGGCACGTAAATGCGTGTGTTCAGACCACAGGTGTTTTTTTTTTGTTTTACATTTAATTTATTCTTTTTGATTCATCTTGAACTTAATTCAATTTCTGCAAGTCTACCTTTTACACAAATTCACAGAAAATTCCCCGATTATATATAATATATATTACAGAAGTTGTCTGGCCTACATTCACGCTATATGTATCATACAATTTATGTACAAAATCTACACACTTCACCACACTTGCGCTTACATCAATCTCTTTCCCTGTACTTTCACATGCATCCACCTTTCACACAGTACACAGCCCACCCAATCCACAATCGCCTCCGATTCACTTCCCGGTGGGTTCTCACAATCTCATACACTACACACGTTTATATCATCATCACTCGAATCTTCATTCGCAACACCACCGCCATCAATATTCTCAGCAACATTTTCACTATCACACTCTTCACTGAAATTGTCGCCCAAATCCTCACTCTCACACTCATACTCGCTGTCACTCCTGAACGAAATCACGATTGGTGGTACTTCCTCATTCAATCTTCCAGCTTCCCAAAACCGATCCTCCACCTTGTCTATGACGTGTTGACATGCCTTAGCCCAGTTTCCAGTTGTCACACTAGCCGTGGCCTCCAGGAACAGACGGTTAACGTCTTTGATTTTAAAATTGGTGTTTCTTCGGGCGACATAGGCCTGTTCTTGTGCTAAAATTAAAGTATCCACCTTCTTATATACACACAGCATCGTGCACTTCCAAATGCATGCGATGAAAGGATGATCCATTATTCAAGGAATTATATTTTCTATGATTCATTTTTTTCTATCTGTTCTACGACAATATCTGAAACAAATCTTGTGTGCCTTTGGAACGCGAATATAAGTAAAAATAAATACTGTTAATCAAAACTATTTAATTCCATAAAATTGTAAGATATCGTACAAATTTACACTTTATCAGAAAGGTTACCATGCCATCTAATGCTGAAAATAAGTGTTCTGTGAGGAATATTTTAGGAGACATGCAATACTATGCATATCTCTAAGGAATATTAAAATACCGGTAACCAAATAAACCTAAACACACACACACTTACGCACACCAACACCCCTCGCATTGCCGCAAAACAAACGGGCGAATCTCCTCCCATACAAATATTATTAACCGAATGCACCCGATTTGTGGAATACCTTAAGCCTTATACCCCTAAGAGTGACCCAACTTACGCAAGCGCAGTGATAATGTTTATGTTCTGAGAAATTGATTAGTGTCGAAGAATGTGAAATTTACAAGAGAATATAGGATTTTATCGAATTTATAGGCGTTAAGGTTCGACGAAGAAAGTAATGGGGTGACAATTCAAGACAGGTCGTGAAGTTTTAACCATTTTAATTAAAAATTGAAGAAATAGTAAGCAATTTTCGAGTCATAGTATCGCCTGGAACAGACAGTAACATTTTATACTTAGTACATGAGTCGGGTACCCTATGGTTTGGATTGTCTTTTTGTAATGCACAAATAAAAACATATCCTACAACACAACGTGGAAATAATTAATAAAGGCTGATTCACAAACAACAAAATAATAATTTAAAAAACGTGTAGAATGCACTAAGCAGTTGTAAATGACTGCCATTCAATTTGAATTGTTCACATATTTCCCCGAACATAACTGATTAGAAATTACAACATTTTTTTCAAAAAATTTGAATATAAATCACCATTTTTGTCTATTTCAAGGTTCCAAATAAACATAGCAATACGCCCTTTAAGTAAAATGTCAACCTTACTATTACTTACTACTTGGACATAAAAATCACATGTGGATGACAAGTAGACAGGTGTATATTTTTAGTTCTGTACATGCCCTTATCAAATACCAAATAAATAATTTCCTACCACATAAGTCTAAATTGAAAGTAAAAATCTGACTCAAATTCAACCTTTTTTAATTTAGAAAAGAATTAATAAACATTCACTTTCCAGCGTATCCAAGTATTTGAAATCTATATTCTGTGGGTCCGTACATAAATCTGATAATCCATAAAAATGATGTTTGCAAAGTTTGAATAGATAACAGATATTTTTTAAATTTTTTATGTCAAACTAGAATTATCAAAATGTTTGTATATTTTATATATGAGTGAAAACAATAATGGCTGTTATATTTTTCCAATAGCTCATTTCTGATCATGATGCTGGTTATAAGATCCGTAATTGGACATACACAAGTGTATGTAAATAAATCAACTTACCTTACACTGACATTGACCAGAATAATTACACTGACAAACTGCTTGACTATTACAGGATTCTTGTTTAGTACCGTTACTATTACAGTTACATCTATCACATATAGGAAAATTATAATAACCATATAAACACTGATCACAACTATATCCTTCATAGTTAGATTCACATAAACATGCACCTGTATCTTTATTACACTGTTTCACTCTAGAACCTTGTGAACTGCAATTACACGACTGAAAATTAAACATATCTATAGTAAATAATTATTATTCTCTTAAATTATTGAGATTAAGACCTATGTTACCCATAGCATCACTAATTTGTGGCAAAAACATAAATTTGGGGCAAATATTTTCTCACGTACAGACCTTTGAATCAGTAAGTCTATTATTCATTACCCTAACTATAATCTCACAAATCTTTCAATATTCATATTAGGTCTACCATAACATAACCCCAACTATAATCAAAACTATAACCTTCACAGCTATCTCAAATCTTTCTGTCAATAAGTCAGTAAACATAATCACAACAATTCTATGGAAACAAATTACTGTATCAGAGCTACATTCTACAATGATTCTCTTGTTTATTATAACCTTAACTAAAATCTTTGCATGTCCCATTATTAGCCAATCTGATTAAAACACAGATCCTATTTCGTTTCGTTTTTTAATATTTCAAAATTTCGTTTTACTTGTCTTTACTACACTAGGATCTGGAAGAGTTGTTATATAACCCGTGTTCTGGATGATATCAGGGATTAGCTATTAAAACAGTCTGTTATGGCGAGTTTTTGGTGTGAGGTGCACAGAACTGTGGGTATCCTACTAGAAACATCAACGCTGATTGGTTAATCGAATGTTTGATGTCATAGGGTCAAAAGCCACTTGTATGACCTCTGATGTAGTAGAGGCCAGCGGAAGTATAAAAAAAAAAGAAACGAAATATAGATCTGTATCTTAATCAGATAGCATTATCAGCAAATCTATCATAAACCAACTATAATGTTAACTCAAACTATTATCACCAAGTCTATCATAACCCTAACTATAATCTTCACATACCTTACAACCAGTACGTGGATCATAACTCCAACTATAATCTTCACATCTCTCACAACTCAAACCTGTAGTTAATGGTGGACAGACACATCTACCACTTACAGGGTCACAAATATGTCCTCGTTTAGTACATGGTTCACATTCTGTGAAAATAAAGATAATATATTTACAATCTAAACTTCAATTACTTCACAAGCAAGCATCTTGTTTTAACATTACTTATAAGTAAAATATTCTCATAAAAAATAAGCTAGAAATTCCTAAAATACAATTTCAGTCCATTTTTAGAGATGTGTTCAGTAAATAAACTCCACTGGCTAATCCGGAAAAAAAGAAGGTATTTCAACCCTGTTATTGCATGCATATTATGTTATTTGAAAGATTTATATTTACCTCTGCAACCAATATAGTCGAAACCATAGTAGCCAGGTAAACATTGATCACATTGTCTACCACCAATACCCTGACGACATGTACATCGCCCTGTTCTGGTATCACATTCATTACTTCTAGAACCAATTAAACTACAATGACAGGGTAAACATCCTCTTCCATCATTTGATTTCCAATATCCTACCTGCAAAAATATATCATTATCACATTACCTGTATACATACATTGTAGTTTGAGGGCATGACTAGTCTGAAGACCAATAGTCATTTTCCTTATTCATATCTACCCGGTGTCTAAAATAAGAACTGAATGTGTTCTTTGGATAGTTATTTAGATAATTAAAACCAAAATCCTTGGCTAGATACCATCCACGGATAAAATTCCTTCCTATCAGGTGTTCAGTAACAATTAATATAGAGGTGTGAAATCAATGCAAGGTAAAGCAATAAGACGTCTGTAACTTAGGTCAAAATTGCTCCATTTTATGACTACTTTTTAATTTGTTTGGTCTGAAAATCTGCCTTTTAGTCTGGAAGAATGAATGTAATAAATAGCAATCCCTAGCTAGTACAAAATCATATAAAATTTGTCAACTTAACTTTATTAAAGTAGCTAAGTCTCTAACTCAATATCGTCTAAAATCTTCGACATTGAAAACACAAATCCAATATTTAAGACAAAATAAACATTTTATGATTGGTACACGAATCGTGTACCATAATGCGTTTCAGCGCTATTTGTCACAAGGGACTCGAAAAACGAGGCTAGGCATATTCCACAATTCATGTCAAACGGTGACACCATATTCATATCTGGAGAGCATGCGCAATAAATATTATCGGTGTAGACTTGAATAACCAGACGCTAGAAATTGCCATTCGATTAAAGGGACTATCCTGATTTTAACAGTCTCAAAAATAAAATTCTTCTGAGTTTGTATGAAATTTAAACGCCAAAATATAGAGAAATGTTGTATTTACCTCGTCTCAAAATTTTAGCTCAAAATATTGAGTCGTTTGGACGTGAACATCAAAACTACTTATCCGGGCACGTAACCCTTTTAAGATTTCGGGTCAATTTTTTCGATGGGTGACCTGATAATCGATTCCCGTTCCTTTTGAGGTTTATACAGTGAATGACCCATGTGCTATACTTGATAACGAAAGGTAAATTTCACCTACACATTATTCTTATTAAATAAAAGTCTGGTTTTATCCAGACACTGCATAATACAGCTTGGGACACCGGTCTCCATTTCCAGATGAAGACTGATGGGTTTAAGTTGTTTGAAAACGTATCACACATATTGAGTTAGTTGCTCGGCCCTAATGTAGAGGATTTTAAGGGATTTTAATACAAAATTAAGCAGTTTTATTCTCCAAAATATTATCGGGATTGGCCCTTTAAGACTTCTGGCATATTTCGGCCAACATAACTGTTTAGAAATTACAGTAAAAACAGAAATGGTTGAATGTAATTCAGTTTAAATACATTCATATTACATTATTATATGCGTTGTGACCCATTTGTGTCAATTTCTAGGTCCCCAATATTAGCGATTTAGCTCCTTTAAAGTAAGTAAAACTGTCTAAAGTAGCTTTTTTTATGTAACGGAATAACAAATATTTTGTAACTATTTTTTTATCTAACTGAATAACAAATAATAAAAACTTTGTAATTTTAATACAACTTTTTTCATTTAACAGAATAAAAAATAATTTCTAACTTTTAATACATCTTTTTTTTATGTAACTAAATAAGCCAGCGGCTGCCAGGCAGGATACGCCCACATTTTGCAAGAGATGGATAGAGAACAAGCTAAAAACAAACATGATTTTTTGTACATTCAAGGGCAATAATCCAGAAAGTTATGGTCTGAATGGCGCAAATATCAAAAGGGACTGAGATCTTTGTGACCTCTAAAGCTAAAAACATGATTTTTCATACAATCAGGGGCCATAATTCAAGAGGTTACTACCCGATATGCCTGAATATCAAAAGGTGCCAAGATCTTTGGGTTTTAAACATGCTTTTCAAGTTTCATCAAAATCAGATCAAAATTGTGACCTCTGGCAGGTCCACATCTTTGATATACGAGGGGCGGTCATTTTTGTCCGGCAGTTTTAGTCCGATTTTAATGAAATTCGAACTCAACCAAAATTACGGTGTAACAGTGATATATTTGAACATTTTTTTAAATCGGATAATAATTTTGACATCTAGAGGGACCTCAAGCTAAATACATGATTTTTCGTACAATTGAGGGTCATAATTCAGGAAGTTATGGTCCGATATGCTCAAATATCGAAAGGAACCAAGATCTTTGGGTTATAAACTTACATTTCAAGTTTCATCAAAATCGGAAGAAAATTGTGACCTCTAGAGGGTCCACAACCTTGATATACCATATTTTTACACTATTTGAGAACGCAGGGCGGCCATTTTGTCTGTCAGTTTTGGTCCGATTTTCACGAAATACGAACTCAACCATCCTTAGGGTGTAACGGTGATATACTAAAAGTTTTTTTTAAATCAGATAAAAATTATGACCTCTATAGTGTCCACAAGCTAAAAAAGCGATTTTTCGTACAATCAGGAGCCATAATTCAGGAAGTTACTATCCGATATGTGCAAATATCAAAACGAACCAAGATCTTTGGGTTATAAACTTATGTTTCAAGTTTCATCAAAATCAGAAGAAAATTGTGACCTCTAGAGGGTCCACAACCTTGATATACCATATTTTTACGCTATTTGAGAACGAGGGGCGGCTATTTTGTCTGTCAGTTTTGGTCCGATTTTCACGAAATTCTAACTCAAACATCCTTAAGGTGTAACGGTGATACACTAAAACATTTTTTTTAAATCGGATAAAAATTATGACCTCTATAGGGTTCACAAGCCAAAAAACACGATTTTACGTACAATCAGAAGCCATAATTCCGGAAGTTACAGTCCGATACGCGCGAATATCGAAAGGATCTTTGGGTTATAAAGTTACATTTCAAGTTTCAACAAAATCGGATAAAAATTGTGACCTCTTTAGGGTTCACAAGCTAAAAACGCGATGTTTCGTACAATCAGGGGCCATAATCCATGAAGTTAAGATCCGATACATGCCAATATCGAAAGGAACCGAGATCTTAAGGAGATGAACCTATATTTCAAGTTTCGTTGAAATCGGATAAGAATTGTGACCTGTAGAGTGTCCACAAACAATTGTGGACGGACGGATGGATGGACAGGGGCGACGAAAATATGCGTCCACATGAAAATGTTGGCATATAAAAATAAAAAAATAAATTGTAACTTTTAATACAGGATAAGATATTTTAGAAAAGAGCATGCTGGATTGACTTTCAATAAACTGACAGATCTAGTCATAACTTTTAATCATGCAAAAAATGGATTTTTAAGTTTAAACTGAATTTTGAAAAATAAAAGAAAATAAGTCTTTTTGAGTGATATAAAACTGAAAGATAAAAGTGACAGTGATGAATCAACATGCAAAAAAAAATAATAATCTAAAATAAAAATTATCACCCCTCTTACACCTCAGTGAAAATACCTGTTACAGATGGTCCTCTACAATATAAAATATACTTACAAATTTTATTGTAAATAGATTTTCATTTTATCTGTTTCAGGAATTAAACGCCATAATTATTGAAATGAGTTTCTTCAATTGAAACAAACATGAGCAAACAATTTTGGTATTATAGCAGATTATATACAGCAGATAAACTTTTGCATTTGCATTTCAGTTGCCTCCCCAATTACTCACAACGATGCCTGCTTGTAAAATGACAACTTTTCATCCAAAGCTATAGAGGTTAGCCAATCTTTTGATTTTTATCAATGTAATAGATGATTCTATGAAATGTTTAACTTCTAAAAAGTGCTTCAATATATAAGATGCACAATTTTATTCTGCAATGGATTTTTGAACCATGAAAATTAAACGTTTCTATGTATAAAGTCGGGCTGATGTCGATCTTACAACTGAGAGCAACTGGTGTTTCGGCAACTGGGAGCTGCTGACTTCAACTGAATGCCACTAAAAAAAGGTTGACTTGAGCGCCTCTTACAACTCAAAGGAACTAGTTCCAGTTTGTTAAAGCCAGTTGCCCATGTTTCACTTTCTGCAACTCACTTCAACTCGTGGCAACTAGTTGCCGTCAGCATGAGCACTCTTACAACTTGTGTCAACCCATTACATGGAAATAACATCACGTGATAAGAGAGACGTTTCATGTGACTTTATAAATAGGCAAAATGCAAGTGAATGAAGGCATCCTCTTTTGAAAAGAGCTGGGTTAATGGCATCGTTTAGAACGGGGGGTTTACCGCTAGATAGTATGCATATAGTTTACTTTCAATACATCGTTTGATAATTGATAAAAATCATTTGAGAATTACAAAAATGGTTTAGTTAGTACTGTTGATACTGTTTGAACCCATTCCGAGAGCCCCGTCTGAAAATGGGCAACAGCTTGTCTATAGAGAGATTGACAGATATCGACTTTTGGTGCCTCTGTAGAAGTCTCACGAGATTATAGCCCTGCCACATGTACATTGCAAGGTTGACTTCTGGTGACGTGATTCAAAGAAGATATATTACCTGGGATGTGATTTACCAATTCCCGATTGTATAATTGCCAGGGACGTGATATATCGATGTATTTGTCAATGTTGGAATTACTATTTTTAATGGATAATGGATAACAATACTACAACCATGGTAAGGTGAGCATCTATGGGTGTGCATTTCTTTTTTAATATTCACCTTTTTTAACTGTACTTCATATGTAAATCGTAATCAAAATGAACCTAAACAGATCGGGCTGAACCTAAACAGATCGGATAAACGCATCTCGGGAAATTAAACCACTTGTCTAATAAGTAAACAAGGTAAATTTATAAACGCTGTTCGGAGAAACTAAACGGGTTACCATTAAACTAAGCAATAGTACTAACTAAACCATTATTGTAATTCTCAAACGAGTTAAACTAAGCAATAGTACTAACAAAACCTTTTTTGTAATTCTCAAATGAGTTTTATCAATTATCAAGCGATGTATTGAAAGTAAACTATATGCATACTATCTAGCGCTAAAACCCCTGTTCTAAATGATGCCATCGTTACAGTGTTACTTACACCAAATATTTTATTGCACTTCTCTTACTTTAAACACATATTGCACATACGCCCTCTTTAAATGGTACAATTCAATTAATGACCATGTAACACTGTAAAACTTGTATCGTTTATAATGGGGGGTTATAGCGCTAAAAACTAGGTATATCGTTTAATTTCAAAACATCTTTTGATAATTGATAATAATCGTTTGAAAATTACAAAAATAGTTTAGTTAGTACTATGGCTTAATTTTAAGGTAAAACGTTTAATTTCTCTGAGAGGGGTTTAGAAATGGCCAACTGTTCAATGCATACGGTCAATCAAGTTTCCATATTACGTGAATTCACACGTGCCATCAAAAGGAATTGATAATTGACTGTAATAGAAGCCCCTTTAACAACAAATTGTTACCATGTCGTAGTCTTCTAGACAATACTTTTATTCTGAATTGTCAGTAAATAATCAGTTGACGTCATTATTAAATAACAATTACAATTGGGACACCATCAATCTGGATTTTCACACAAAATAGGTGCCGTTGTCATGGCTAAATTATGAACGGGCTACTCACACACCTCCTACAATTTACATCACGTATTACCAGTATGTTACAGAGGATTCTATTAATTTTATTTACAATAAAACTCTATAGTCTATTATTAGGGTTGTGTTAACGTTCATTAGTCCACCGATATTTATTATTTGGGTTAGGGCTGGGTTAGGATAGGGTTAGGGTTCATCAGTCCACCGATATCTATTATTAGGGTTAGGGTTAGGTTTATTGATACCCACATATATGTGATATATAGTAACAGCTGTTTGTGTTTTTCGTTTTATGTGAGACTGATAGTTGTCTTTTGTTTTATTAAATTGATCGGCGATTGTTGAGACTGCGATTAACACTTGCTAGTTCTCTTATTTTGTTTCATCGGCGAGCATTGGTATATCCGGTATACCCGGCTGGAACATTTGTGTATATTTAGTAATACTTCGTTGTTTTTCTTTTATCAAATAGTAAACGAGCTTGATTGATCGATGACTGCTAATGTTATTTCGTAAAATGGAATAATTGCAATCAACACACGGCCGCAATTTTCAATGATTGACATCTCACGGTTTTCCTGATCCACAAAAGAACCGTAAGGTTTATTTGCACATAATAAAATAAGATGCCGATTATCGGTTAATCAGCTATGATCGTCGTATTTCTAATATTTTTCACAAAAACAAAATTGCTTTGTACGCACTAATTTATCGATTGGTACTGCCATCTACGAGAAGCTTGTCGAGGTATGCATCAACGTGCAGCTTACAGGTTATCGTTAACAATTTCTAGGGTCTTGTAAAAAGAGTGCATGTCGTGTAAATATTTACTTTTGATTTTGTGTAGGTCATTTTCAAATAAATTCATAGGCATGTTATTCTATTTTAACAAATATATTACTATACGAGAAACGATGACTATCAAAGAACCGTAAGTGCAACTAATGGTTTATTGTTTGGTGGAGCCTTTTAATAACCAAGTGTTTCAAGTTAATAAATATTTTCTTCATCTCACGAGATAATCGTTGTGCAGTTGTACATCGCGAGGTTGACTTCGTGTACAGGTGGAAAACTTAATTAATTCATTTGTGATTTAAAGAAGATACATTACCTGGGATGAGTTTTACTGATTTCCAAATGTATAATTACCTGGGACGTGATTTACCGATTTTTTGATATATTTGTCAATGACGGAATTACTATTTTTAATGGATAATGATAATGGATAATAATACTAGGACCACGGTAAGGTGCTTTTTTTTAAAATTCATCATTTTCATTCGCACTTCATATGCAAATAATCGTAATCAAAATGAACCAATCGGATAGACAGCTCACGGGAAAATAAACGATTCATCTAATAATTCAGCATAGTAGATAAATTAAGCAGGTCTTATTTCTACAAGCATCTCAGGAAATTGAACTACTCGTCTAATAAATAAACGTACTAGATAAGTGAACGGTCGGCCATTTCTAAACACCTGTCGGAGAAATTAAACGCTGTACCATTAAATTAAGCCATAGTACTAATTAAACTACTTTTATAATTTTCAAACGATTATTATCAATTATCAAACAATGTTTTGAAATTAAACTATATACCTAGTTTTTAGCGCTATAACCCCCATTATAAACGATACCAGTTTTACAGTGTAACATTCTGTAGGTTATTAACTTGAAAACCCACCCTAAAGAATCATGGCATCATACTTGTATTATTAGACATTTACCCAATGATGTTGTAAAACTGTTACTGGATGACTTACCTGACAATCCTTACATTGTAAACCTTGATATCTAGGATGACATGAACACTGTCCATACTTTTGACATGTATAACTATTATATGAACCATCTACATTACAATTACATGCTAAAATATACAAATTATATAACTGATCAATATCTCTCTTTTATATTTTTTATATTATTGTTAAATCATAACCAATCACAGAAACAGCACACCACAGGGTAGAAATGAGACACAACAAGCCAACAGTGAGGCTGATGTCCCCCGCTGAAATCCCAAAATAAATAGATGACACATTAATTAATTGCACGTTTATCTTTATCCAAAGAATTTTAGAGCAAACAAACCGATTATCAAACCATTTCATCACTCTCTGTTAGATAGAATCAAAGTCAAAGAAATTGCTCAACTCTGCTTAGCTTTAGCGGGAAATGTTAAGCATTGAACCCAGTCAAGATATCACCTAATGAACATCAACATCAAGTTTAAACTTTCTACCTCAATTAAAAGCAATGTTGTTATGTTCCAAAGTCTTGACCAATCAAATTGTATATCGCTCCTTAGCAAAAATTCTGATCAAACTTAGTCAAGGTAATGATATAAAGAATTTATACTCGGAGTAACATAGCATTGTGCCCAAAAGCATCAACCAATCAAATTGCTTATCTCTGCTTAACGTAAGCAGACAATGTTCATCATCGAACTCCGTCAAGACATTCACCTAATGAACTCCTACACCAACTTTGAACTTTCCACCTCAATTAGAAGGAAAGTTATTGTGTTTCAAAGTCTCAACCAATCAAATTGTTTATTGCAGCAGAAAATGTTCATTATGGTACTTGATCAAGGTAATGATGTAATGAAACTATACACCAAGTTTCATCACTCTCACTTAATTAGAACTAAAGTTATCGTCTCCCTAAGCATCAACCAATCTAATTGCTTACCTCTGCTTCCCCTAAGTAGAAAATGCTCATCTTCAAACTCCATCAAGGCATCGACCTAATAAACACCTACACCAAGTTTGAACATTCTATCTCAATTAGAAGGAGAGTTATTGTGTCCCAAAGTCTCGACCAATCAAATTGCTTACCCCGAGCATAAAATGTTCGTTATCAAATTTAATCAAGGTACTGATGCAATGAAACTATACACCAAGTTTGATCACTCTCATTTAATCAAACTAAAGTTATTGTGTCCCAAAGCATCAACCAATCAAATTTCTGATCTCTGCTTACCCTAAACAGAAAATGCTCATCTTTGAACTCCATCAAGGCATCGACCTAATAAACACCTACACCAAGTCTGAACATTCTAGCTCAAATTAGAAGGAGAGTTGTTGTGTCTCAAAAAGTGTGCCAGACAGACGGAAGGATGGACAGACAGACGGACGAACAAACCTATTTTAGTAGTTCCAATTTAGCAGTATATGTAAACAGCTTAAAACTAACCTGTACAATCTCCATCCACTGCTGAACCGTAATATCCTGATTTGCATCTATTACAATATATACCCTCCGTATTATGGCCACATTGTTGACATTCACCAGTCACATTATTACAACTACTGGATACATCCATATTAATATTACCACTACACTGACATAGCTTACATGATCCTCCTAACATCATCGGGTTACCATAGTAACCAGGGGCACACCTTTAATTATACATAAGCTAAAATTAAATACATTTTCACAATATTCCATTTATTACACTGCATACATATAGGCTGCACATAACAGAATCCTTGGCAGTTAGAATTCAACCCCATTCCATTCCATATAAGTAGAAGTTGGCTAGGTCCACACTATTAATCTTTCACTACCTAAAACAATGTTTTCAGGTGGTAGTTAATCTCTTCAGGGTTGCTTGACCCACCTACACTACTTGTCTTAAGTCCTTCATTAATGTAATTAATTCATGCACTGCAGTTCTCTAGGTATTATTTCTTCAGCATACTATTCTGATACTTACATTTCACAGTGTTTGCCTGCATATCCCATCATACAGTCCATACACTGATAATCAAATCTATTATCAAGAGTTGGACTATACACACACCCATCTCCAAAATTATTTTCTGTGTTACGCATAGGACAAGCACATGGTTGGCAGTCATCTTCAGATCCTCTTCTAGGGTCCCCATAGTAACCCTTAATACATCTCTCACAGTTCTTACCAGTAGTATAATGTCTACAATTCTATAAATATAAACAAATTAAACATATATGTAGGTTTTGAATGAAATTTCCAGAAATGAATAAGATGTTTTGAGAATAATACTTTTTGTGAAATACACAAATAACTAAGCCAAACCCCTGCTCAATCAAAACCATGTCCTATTAATAAGAGTAAGCTTAAAGTGCATGTTCAAATTTAAGTTACATAATCTTGATGCATAACAGAACCAGTGGTTGCCAGGCAAGATACACCCACAAAAACAAAAGCGATTTTTCATACAATCAGGGGCCATCCACAAAGTTATGGTCTGAAATGTGCAAATATCAAAAGGGACTGAGATCTTTGGGATATAATTAATTTTAATTTTCATCAAAATCAGATAAAAATTGTGGCCTCTAGAGGGTCCACAAGCTAAAAACCTTCGTATTATATACTTTTACACAATTTGTGTACAAAGAGCGGGCATTTTGTCTGGCAGATTCGTTCTGATTTTCCCAAAATTCGAATTCAACCTTCATTATCGTGGAATGGTGATATATTTCAAAGTATTTTTTAATCAGATAATAATTGTGACCTCTAGAGGGACAACAAGCTAAAAACGTGATTTTTTGTACAGGCAAGAGCCACAATTGAGGAAGTTATGATCCGATATGCGTGAATATTGAAAGGAACCAAGGTCTGTGGGTAATAAATATGTATTTCAAGGGTCATCAAAATTGGATCAAAATTGTGGCCTCTAGAGGGTCCACAACCTTTCGATATACCATATGTTTACACTAGTTGCACATGAGGGGTGGCCATTTTGTCTGATAGTTTTGGCCCGATCTTCACAAAATTCAAACTCAATCAACATGATTTTTCATACAATCAGGGGCCATAATCCATGAAGTTATGGTCTGATACATGCCAATATCGACAGGAACCAAGATCTTTGGGAGATAAGACCTAAATTTCAAGATTCGTTAAAATCAGATAAAAATTGTGAACTGTAGAGTGTCCTCAAACAAATTGCTCATGTCCAGACGGACAGGGGCAACGGCATAATATGTCCACATGAAAATGTGGGTGTATAAAAAATTTAACAAAAACTGTTCTAGGTCCTCTTTAGCTGGGTTAACAATGAAAAATCATTAATTTGATTTTTATTTATATACAAATTACATCTTTGGATTCAATTTCAGATTTTTAATAAGATTTTGAATAATAAAGGAAAAATTTCTCTAAAAGTAGATTAACCTTGATAAAACTCATATATGATCTGTATCTACCCAACTAGAAGTCTGGAAAGCTGTACTGGACAGACTGTACAAAAGATTGACTTTAAGTAGAATCCAACCCAGGTATCATTTAATCTTGTGTATCCAGTAGACGTGGTACAAGGGTTAATCAGCGAACTGGATGTATGAGATGTGTTGTTGACGTTTGGGAAAGTAGGACGAGGGGAAATGTGTAGGGAGTGAAGTGCTGTAAAAGGATAGTTAGATGTATTATGAATGGTTAGAGTGGCTGTGGTGTTACGGTGAAATACTATGCCGCCACCGTAACACCACAGCTTTATGATTTGTTAGACAGGAGTGATGTAATGGGTGTCAACAACTGGGTATGCTGGTACCGTCGCAACGTAGCCGTGAAATATATATTGTGGGGGGGGAGGGCGGAAACGGAAAAATATACAATGTTGAAAGTATGTGCCAGGCATGAGGCTGCGCAGACCGAGCGGCAGCTCGATAGGGAGTGTGTGGGAGGGTCACCCTCATAAAAATTTTTTTTTTTAAATTTCAGTTTTCTGTAAGCAGTGAAAACACTATTTTGGCATTGTTTGCGGGGTTAAACCTAAAAATCACATTAATACACCTATTGCACGATATTGTGAAACTAGCTGACGAAGACAGCTCGGGCGGCGATTGTTCGACTCGGGGCTGCTCTGTCAGTATCTAACAAACGCATTTAGTTCGCGTACAACTTTTAAAAACCGAATGTCAGTATGGTATTTCTCACATAATTGGTTATCGCAAAAACAGAGTAAACTGAAAGCGAGTAATCTCGACTCAAACCTATAGTCTATAGCCTACTTACTACACTCGTCACTAGGCTTCCTATATTATTGTTTGTGGATGGTTTACTACTCAGTGATAAGCCTGCGCCGCAAAAAGAGGTCTCGCCTTTTATTATTAGTATAATGACTTCCTCATGTGCGGCAGGTTAGTTTGCTTCTAAAAACACTGTTTTCCGTTCCAAAAAATACAAAAGTAATTTTCTACCAGATGACCATGGTTCTTTTCACCGAGACTAGATAATTTCTCTCGGTGTAAGGATATAGCTATGGATAAGTTCATACAAAGTCAATAAATCCGCGGTCACTTCGGGTCACACTGTTGAGAAAATAAACCGATGGGTTTGTTTAGTAGCAAATCGAGCGTGAATCAACTGAGTTTGTACTGAAAAATTTTTGAGTGATATGTATGAACTGTCTTTACACATTCGGTTTATAATTAGCGATACACAGGTACAGTGGCAAGTGTTGTACTTCACAGACTGTTTACCTCCGAACTACCTCCGCACGAAATCCCCGATTTGGGTACTTGTTAAAAGAAAAAGAAATAGTACCTGTGCGCATGCCAGTAAAAAAAAACTAAGAGTTCGCGCATAAAAATGCCCGAACGTACCAGGCGCCAGGTCATCTAGCACTAATTTCTTTCACATTCGTTTAATATCAAATCTTTGTTTAAAAATTCGTAAAAACTGTTTAAAATCACCAAAGATTGGTTGCCAGGCAACGAAACATACGCCAACAGCGGCTAAATCGTCCGAGCGGTTGATAAGGGTTGTCGCATATTTATTCCTTTACAAGACAGTTCCATACAGATCAGATTATAATTTTTGCCGTTTGAGGGTTCACAAGGTTCTACAAATTGAAACAAGGGTCTCAACTCTGGAAGTAATCTACAGAAATTGTTGAAATTTGTCAGGCTTTTTCGTTTCACAAATTTAAATGATGCATATAAATTTCATACATATCGGATGATAACTTTCATCAATCGAGCATAAACAAGGTTGAATAAAGTTAAACAAGGGCAATAACTCTAGAAGTAATAAACGGAAATTGCTGAAATTCAATAGGATTCTTCTCTTTACTAATTTAAATGACGCATGTAAATTTCATACAGATCGGCAGATAACTTTTGATGTTAGAGCATTCACAAAGTTCAATAAAGTGAAACAAGGGCCACAACTCTAGACGTAATAAACAGAAATTATTGAAATTAAATAGGCTTCTTCGTTTCATTAATTTAAATAATGCATATAAATTTCACAAAGATTGGGTGATAACTTATGGCGTTAGAGCGTTCACAAGATTCAATAAAGTGAAACAAGGGCCAGAAATCTAGACATAATAAATGGAAATTGCTGAAATTCAATAGGCTTCTTCATTTCACTAATTTAAATAATGCATATAAATTTCAGAAAGATAGGATGATAACTTTTGGCATTAGAGCATTCACACGGTTAAACAAAGTGAAACAAGGGCCATAACTCTAGAAATAATAAACGGAAATTGCTGAAATTAAATAGGCTTCTTCGTTTTCCGAATTTAAATATTGCATATAAATTTCACAAAGATCAGATGTTAACTTTTGGCATTAGAGCGTTCACAAGATTCAACAAAGTGAAACAAGGGCCATAACTCTAGACGTAATAAATAGAAATTATTAAAATTAAATAGGCTTCTTCATCTCACTAATGCAAACAACATCTTTCAATTTTAAAACAACTGGATGATAACTTTTGGCGTTAGAGCGTTCACAAGAAATTGTGGACGATGTACGGACGGGGGCGACGGCAATATACCTCCACATTTCTATGTGGGCGTGTAAAAATCATCTAATTTGTACTTGTGTCCAGTTTAAAGCTAACTGATTAATATTGATAATGAGTGTCCAATTTACAAGTATTAAATTTCCTGACCACTGTTCAAAGATTAATCATTATACATCATTATAATCAATTGGGTTGTTTATTTTGTAACAGTGATTGAGAAATTAAACACTTGTAAATTGGACACTCATTATCAAAATTGAATGGTCAGCTTTAAACTGGACACAAGTACAAATTAAACGATTCATGGTGATTTTAAACAGTTTTTACAAATTTTTAAACAAAGATAAGATATTAAACGAATGTGAAAGAAATTAGTGCTAGATACACAAGATTAAATGATACCTTGGTTACAGTGGCTACAATCTCCTTCAATTTCACCGGAAGAAACAAGTAAACTTGTATTCATGTACCTGTTTACTGTACTAATGTATGTACTACTTTATTTTAAATCCCCTTCAGTGTAACAGTTTGGGTCAAGTAAAATGAGAGGGGTCAACATAAACCTAACCTGTTCCTCAATCCAATTTACCAGCGGCTGCCAGGCAGAATACGCCCACATTTTCAAGAGATGGATAGAGAACAAGCTAAAAAGAAAGTGATTTTTCCTACAATCAAGGGCCATAATTCAGGAAATTACAATTCGATATGCGCAAATATCGAAAAGAACCGAAATCTTTGGGTTATAAACTTACATTTCCAGTTTCCACAAAATCGGATAAAAATTGTGACCTTTTTAGGGTCCACAACCTTGATATACCATATTTTTAAGCTATTTGAGAACGAGGGGCGGCCATTTATTCTGTCAGTCCTTAGGGTGTAACGGTGATATAATAATACGTTTTTTTAAATCGGATGAAAATTATGACCTCTATAGGGTCCACAAGCTAAAAACGCGATTTTTCGTACAATCAGGGGCCATAATTCAGGAAGTTACAGTCCGATATGCGCGAATATCGAAAGGAACCAAGATCTTTGGGTTATAAACTTATATTTCTAGTTTCAACAAAATCAGATAAAAATTGTGACCTCTATAGGGTCTACAACCTTGATATACCATGTTTTTACGCTATTTGAGAGAGAAGGGCGGCCATTTTGACTGTCAATTTTGGGCTGATTTTCACGAAATTCAAACTCAGTCGTCCTTAGGGTGTAACGGTGATATAATAATGAAAATGTGGGCGTATAAAAATTGTGACCTCTAGAGTGTCCACAAGCTAAAAACGCGATTTTCCGTACAATCAGGGACCATAATTCAGGAAGTTACAATTCGATATGTGCGAATATTGACAGGAACTGAGATCTTTGGGTTATAAACTTACATTTCAAGTTTCAACAAAATCGGCCCAAAATTGACAGATAAAATGGCCGCCGTTCGTTCTCAAATAGCGTAAAAATATGGTATATCAAGGTTGTGTATGGAAGCCTATAACTACCATTCATAATTTCTACTTTTCGCCTCTTCACAACGCGAAAGTCGAAAAGTCGAAAAGTAGATGTTACGACAAAATGTGAGGCGACAACACGCTATACAAGCCAAAATCAACCCGAAAATAGGAAATTAAGAAATAACACACAGCGATAATAGCGCCCCTCGTTTTTTCCTAATTTCGACTTTTCGAGTTGCATTTTGGCTTGTATACCGTCTTTTCGACTTTCGACTTAGTCATATTTTTGTATTTGTTGATGTCAGTAAGAAGGCGCCAAAACGCTATACAAGCTAAAATGCAACTCGAAAAGTAGAAATTAAGAAATTAACACACCACGCTATTAGCGACTTTTCGCCCCTCGTTTTTCCTAATTTCTACTTTTCGACTTGCATTTTGGCTTGTATACGGTCTTGTCGACTTTCGACTTAGTCATATTTTTGTATTTATTGATGTCAGTAAGAAGGCGCCAACACGCTATACAAGCCAAAATGCAACTCGAAAAGTAGAAATTAGGAAATTAACACACCACGCTATTAGCGACTTTTCGCCTCGGAAGTTGTTGTAGTCTCAGTTTTCAAGGTCGCATTTGAATACTGTATTTCATTCTTTTCCGTCAAAATGGATAATAATTTTTTTTATATAAAATAAATGTTCATATTTTTTTTCCGCCAACTGGGATATTTTATCTGCCAAAAATGTCTGATAAAAAAAACACACTTTAGGCTACAACAATTTAATTTATTATATAGGCCTATTATAAAACAAATATCCCGTACCAATATATATAATATACAACAACATACCGGGAAAACCTGTATATTTTATATGCAGTATGAAACCACAGTAGGCCTAAATGAAATTCAATTATCTATGCGCGTATTCTAATGTGACCTTGAAAGTAGAGACTACATCAATTTCCGAGGCGAAAAGTCGACAGCACGACAGCTAGCCAAAATCATAGGTCGCTAATATCGCCTTCAATACTAGACTTTATCATACAGACTATTTTGTTAACGCAAATTGCAAGTATTTAAATGCGACCTGGCAAATTGTGACTACAACCGCTTCCGAGGCAAAAATCGAAAAGTCGCCAGTACGACAGCAAGCCAAAATGATAGGTCGATAATAGCGCATGTGTTTATTTCCTAATTTCTACTTTTCGAGTTGCATTTTGGCTTGGTATGCGACAGTTGTCCTTGTCAGCACCCCCCGACACGTCCTGCATCACTGACAAGGGGGAATCCGCCGGAAAATCAGGATGAACTTTCTTGGGCAATGCAGGGATCTAACACCCGACCTCCACGTCCTGCATCACTGACAAGGGGGAATACGCCGGAAAATCTGGATGAACTTTCTCAACCAATGCAGGGATCGAACACCCGACCTCCAGGCTGGCTTAAAATCCACTTGTTGCAAACTAAATCATTTCAATAATTCGTTTGCACGTAGGGGTCTTTAGCAGTGGATTAAAACTGGGCTATCCGGAGAAAACCCACAAGGTTGGACAAGCGATCCTACTCCCTTGTCATGTTTTAGCGGGGAATCGAAACCACACCACTTGAATCAATGTCAAACCTTGTGATTTCACGTGCACATGTTAGACCACTAGACCACCCAATCCCCATGTATGTTGTTGTATATTATATATATCGGTACGGGAAATTTGTTTTATAATAGGCCTATATAATAAATTAAATTGTTGTAGCCTAAAGTGTGTTTTTTTTATCAGACATTTTTGGCAGATAAAATATCCCAGTTGGCGGGAAAAAAAATATGCACATTTATTTTATATAAAAAAAATTATTATCCATTTTGACGGAAAAGAATGAAATACAGTGTGAGCCCAGATTGCACGTATTCAAATGCGACCTTGAAAACTGAGACTACAACAACTTCTGAGGCGAAAAGTCGCTAATAGCATGGTGTGTTAATTACCTAATTTCTACTTTTCAAGTTGCATTTTGGCTTGTATAGCGTGTTGGCGCCTTCGTACTGACATCAATAAATACAAAAATATGACTAAGTCGAAAGTTGACAAGACGGTATTCAAGCCAAATTGCAAGTCGAAAAGTAGAAATTAGGAAAAAACGAGGGGCGAAAAGTCGCTATAATAGCATGGTGTGTTAATTTCTTAATTACTACTCTTCGAGTTGCATTTTGGCTTGTATAGCGTGTTGGTGCCTTCTTACTGACATCAATAAATACAAAAATATGACTAAGTCGAAAGTCGACAAGACGGTATACAAGCCAAAATGCAAGTCGAAAAGTAGAAATTAGGAAAAAACGAGGGGCGCTATTATCGCTGTGTGTTATTTCTTAATTTCCTATTTTCGAGTTGATTTTGGCTTGTATAGCGTGTTGTCGGCTCACATTTTGTCGTAACTTCTACTTTTCGACTTTTCGACTTTCGCGTTGTGAAGAGCCGAAAAGTAGAAATTATGAATGGTAGTTATAGGCTTCCATACACAACCTTGATATACCATATTTTTACGCTATTTGAGAACGAACGGCGGCCATTTTATCTGTCAATTTTGGGCCGATTTTCACGAAATTCGAACTCAGTCATCCTTATGGTGTAACGGTGATATAATTATACGGTTTTTTTTAAATCGGATAAAAATTATGACCACTATAGGGTCCACAAGCTAAAAACACGATTTTTCGTTGAATCAGGGACCATAATTCAGGAAGTTACGGTCCGATAGGCGCAAATATCGAAAGGAACCGAGATCTTTGGGTTATAAACTTACATTTCAAGTTTCAACAAAATCGGATAAATATTGTGACCTCTATAGGGTCCACAACCTTGATATACCATATTTTTACGCTATTTGAGAACGAACGGCGGCCATTTTATCTGTCAATTTTGGGCCGATTTTCACGAAATTCGAATTCAGTCATCCTTATGGTGTAACGGTGATATAATAATACGTTTTTTCTAAATCGGATAAAAATTTTGACCTCTATAGGGTCCACAAGCTAAAAACGCGATTTTTCGTACAATCAGGGGTCATAATTCAGGAAGTTACGGTCCGATATGTGCGTGAATATCGAAAGGAACCGAGATCTTTGGGTTATAAACTTACATTTTAAGATTCAACAAAATCGGATAAAAATTGTGACCTCTATTGGGTCCACAAGCCAAAAACGTGATTTTTCGTACAAACAGGGGCCATAATCCATGAAGTTTTGATCCGATACATGCCAATATCGAAAGCAACCGAGATCTTTTGGAGATACACCTATATTGCAAGTTTTGTTAAAATCGGATAAGAATTGTGACCTGTAGAGTGTCCACAAACAAATTGTGGACAGACAGACAGACAGACAGATGTCCGGTCGTCCGGACGGACAGGGACGACGGCATAATACGTCCACATGAAAATGTGGTTGTACCTGTTTACCATACTGGAACATGTACCAATGTACCGTATTAGATAATCTTAGCAAAAATTTAGAAATGCCACAAAACCTTTTTTTTTCGATTATTACATACCAAACACGTGCCTGCATCATTACAATCTGACGAATGCTGATTACAATTACACTGTAGACAAATACCATTATATAAAACACCATTTTGTCTTCTCCAACTTGGTGCACAACTCTAATAATATATACAAACCAATATGTAATCTCAGTGTAAGTTATCAAACATCGGTGTGGTCAACATACAGGTTGATAAATTTACTTACCGGTATATAATGAATTGGAAGGCAGGAGTTAAACATGGGTTCCCCTCTCCATCATATTTGCTAGTAATCAAAGATTGCACATGCACAATTAATTTGTTCTCTATATTTCATCCCACTTAACTTTTTAAACCAAAATAGAGAAAGAGAAATGGGGTTTAACGCAGGGATCTTAATCGAGTGTTTTTTGTCGGCTTTAGCGACTTGAAGTTCAATCAAACCGATTGGTAGTCAATCAACTAGGTTGTCGGCTACAATAATAATCATACCTTAGTAAGAATCGGCCATGTGGTTCATAATCCGAGTAATTAGCACAAGTAGCGGTAATTTCAATAATCCGGTAAAAAAACAAAAAAAACACGCTTGCTGATTATTCATAACAGGTCCAGTAAGTTGCCATGAGGAAATAGGCCACGTGGCAATCGAAGGAAGACAATACGATCTCGGAATGGACTGTGCATCTATCGCGCGCTTTAGACGGTCCGTATGAATTCCAGGGTAGTTATTAAAATAATAATTGGATCATAATTTAATGGTTTCACTGACAAGTTGTTTAGTTAAATTTAAATCTTAGTTGAATATAATTCTCAGATATAACACCGAATACACTGAGAAAAAGTCATTAATAATATATTATGAATCTCCAATGCGGAATATGACATGTGACATCGGTTTGAATTAGGTCAGTAAACCAGCGATGCTAGTTTTAAATAGTGTTTACCATTATGATTTTTTTCTTTTATACAGTACACATACTGACAGAGGCTTAATATTTTAAAATATTGTCATTATTAATATTGAAAGCTGTTTGACATGCGCATAGTCATATGGAATTTAATTTTAAAGCCATTTCAATTATGGTTGTCAGGTTATCATTGTGCCGAGTGTCTATCATGGACGAATGAATAAAAACATTTGCAAGTTACTGATAGAAAAAAACAAAAACCTACAAATTGTGTTATGAAGAAATACCATGGTGCCGTATCAACTTATATCCATCGAAAAAAAAGAATACAGTAATTTATTCAGGAATATTACTGACATGAATTTCAAGCCGGTACGTGAATTAAATATGGACAATTTTCCGAATGGTGTACATGTACCTGTTTGAAATTATAGGCTATTTGTGGTAATTACATACAGTAGAATACGATATTCCTCATAACAAATTACCAAGAATTATTTTTGTTGAAGTCTGGTTATATTAAAGGGAATGGAAGCTTAAATTTTTAAAACCCAGTTCCTACCGAGACCTCAATTTGACCCAATTCTGGACGATTCGTTTCAAAATGGATTAAGAACCCTGGTTTAACGTCCACTTGACACAAATTAGATCATTTCGAGACTAACGTATAGTTCAATTTTATTTCAATAATTCACTTGCAAGAGGGAGGAAACAAGAGGGTCCAGAGAAAAGCCAAGAAGCTGCCACTTAACTCAATGATGTGTAAACATTTGGCCACCCAAACCCCCAAAGCCTAAAGGAATTAAACATGGTTGGGTTCAGTTCACATCGAATATTTTTATGTGAATACACCATCTTCGGGTGGATAAAAGTAGTTGCAGGTATGTGCACATTCTGTTCTAATGTTGTACATTAGTTTGTATACTAACCTCACATGACAAACCAGCATACCCAGGTGGACATTGACATTTCTCTACAGAACTTATAGTTATATCACTACTAGATGTTGGACTTACTACATCTAAAGATACATCTCTTAAACTATAAAACAAACAATATACACAATATAAATATTATTCTGTACCAATATACTATGTTATAGTCATCTTGAAAATTCATAGGTTGCCAGGCAAAAGAAAATATGTCCACCATCAACTAAGTCGTCCAAAAAGTTTTAAGCTGAACAATTTCAAAAAGATCACATCATAATTAAAGCCTCTAAGTTGCTAACAAGATGTGGTAACAAAGAAGAATAACTCAACCTGGTTAATATGTAGAATAAACATATACGGTACAGATTTATTATGTAGAATCTAGACCTCAGACAGGTTTGTATTATTTTTTTAATGACTTTAGGTCACTGATATAACAATACTTATAACATTGATGTAACTTACAAGACTGTATCCTGTGCTGTATGATAAGTAGCTCTAATCATTACCCTCATTAAACTCTGTAACACCATCATCATGTCGCCTTTACTTAATGTATCCTCAACTAATCTGTTATTTACAGAACTTAACTTTTTCCATTCTGATTCCACCAATCTAAGATTGACACGATTTTCTACTTCTTCTCGTAGATACTGTTGTCCATTAGTTATCATCATGCCTCCACCCTTAAATATGACAACAGTAAATCACTCCAAACAAAATCAACCATAAAAAGAAAAGGCGTAGTTTATTTCAAATCATTTTTCTTATTTCAAAATTGTCTACACAAGTGAAATTTCTACAATTCAAACTACACTCAAAGTCATTAAAAACACAATGCCAAATACAAAGTTTATTTACTGCAACAACTTTTAACAAATGTACATAACAATTGACAAAATCGAGATAACAAGCATCTGTGGATAAGTTCGAACCCGTCGTCCAAGTTCATCCCAAAGGTGTTCGATCGGGTTCATGTCGGGAGACATAGCGGGCCAATAAATAACACGGACGTGATGATTGTTCAGAATGTCTCTTGTCAACCTGGCAGTGTGGGGTCGGGCGTTGTCATGCTGGAAAACCATCTGTCCACGACGCCATGTTGAGCCAGCAATGGAAGCAACACCAGACGAAGCATGGCGTCAACATAATGTTGAGCGTTGCGATTGCCTTGGACCACCACCAACTGCCCGTCTTCAATTAGCCCAGGTTAGGTGCAGAAGAGTAGGATGTTAAACCCCATTTCATTTCATTTCATTTCACCACCAACTGGGACCGGAAGTTGACGTTGATAGCGGCCCAAACCATGACGCCACCTCTCCCCAAACAATCCCTTTCCAGCAGGCAGTTACAAGCAAAGCGTTCATGTCGACATCGGTCGACACAGTGACATCTATCAGGAAAACTGAGGTTGAATCAGGATTCATCCGAGAAGATGACATTTTCCCATGGTGTGTTGTGCAGATACCCCTGATTTGCGGCCCACTGCTGTCTGGCAAGTCGATGATGATGCAATAGGATTTGACCTTGGTAAGGTCGAAGGCAGCGTAACCCAAGAGCAGCCAAGCACCTTTGGACTGTTTGAGGGCTGATCTGACGTTGCCGTGTTCCAATAGTTCCCCTGGCAGCAGCAGTAGCTGACTGGAACCTGTTGTGCAGATACTGTAGTCAGATGTGGCGAGCGGTTGTCACAGGTGGCGTTCCAGGTCGGGGTCAATCGGCAACTCTTCCAGTGGCATGGAAGCGTTGTCTGAGGCGAAGAATGGTCAATGAGTGGACATTAAGTGTCTGGCGATGGCTATCTGTGAAGCCCACTGATCCAGCATGCCAATAGCTCTGTTTCTGTTGTAAGGCGTGGCATTTTTCCGAAGTGATGAATGTTGAAATTTTGATCTGTATTTAAAGGGCCAGAGTTCAGGGACTGCACGTACAAAACGTGTAGCATGGGACTGCTTAAAATCCTGAAAAAAGACAAGTGTTGCGTTTGCACGAACAAAGTCCATTAAAGAGAACTGATATTGGGTTCAAACCAAGAACTCCACAAAAAGAGACCCTTCACAAGTTTCACCTATGTGCCATAAGATAGGAAAGCCAAGAAAACGTTTACCAGAAATATTTCATGAATTAAGCATTGCGTTTTTAATGGCTTTAAGTATATTAATAAGAAGTTGAACAAATCAATGTAATGTATGTGTTAGCCAGTCATTTCTAGCATAATGATCAGGGAACTTAATCAGCTGTTTTTTGTGAAACAATGAACAGGCCACTGTATCATAAATCAATCTACTTTCGGTTAAATTACAATGGGTTAATTATTACTTGTTAATTAAGTAGTCAATCAACTTGCTTGTCGGCTACAATAACAAGTCATCCCTTAATGAAAATCGGCCATGTAGTTCATAATCTGAGTAATTAGCACAAGTAACCGTAATTTTGATAATCGGCCACGCGGCAATTGATGGAAGACGATCTCAGCATGGATTGTGCATCTATCGTGCGCCTTCGACTCTTTGTATGAATTCCAGGTGTACTGGTAGATATCAAAGATACATCCCCGCGTACAAACTGGGTGATTTGATGATATATTTGGACTAAAAACATATTCAAACTAATCAATTCATCATAATTTTGCTTTAAATCCTTCTCAAAATATTGAAATTGCCAAGGAATACCCTTACTAAAAAAAATCGACCAAAAGAGATCATGTTTGTGTCACGTGACTTACCTCTCTCGGTACCTATCAACGGGTGAGAAGTCGGAGGAGAATTCATTGCATACACAAGACGATGTTGTCTTTAATCGCTGACTATTTATTACAAATATCGAAGCCTAATTAAATTCTTGGATTATCCACTGCCCAAGTTTTTTTCTGTGGTGTTTAACTCAGAAACCGTTGTATGTCTAACTCTTCATAAAGTTTATCAACATGTACATCAAGCGCTCAATCTCTGCGTGCGACCTTTGACATCACGCGTGCAGACACTCCTAATCGGCGGGCTGTCGATCAGGGAAACCCTTACAGTTTTGTCCTGTACGCGCTCCATGAGTGTTTTTCAGGGCATCCAGTACTTTTCTAGTAAGATTGGATATTTCTACTTTCCATATATAACCACCCGATAAATACTTTTCTGGGAACCTATCTTTAAAATAATAATTGGATCATAATTTAATAGTTTCACTGGCCAGTTGCTTGTTAAATTTAAATCTTAGTTGAATATAATCCTCATATAGAACACCAAATACACCGAGAAACAGTCATTAATAATATATTATGAATCTAGTTTGAGTTTTAAATAGCATTTAACATTATCATTGTTTATTTTACACACATGCTGAAAGAGACTCTTTTTTTAAAAATATTGTTATTATCATTGAAAGCTATATGGCACAGTCGTATGGAATTTAATTTTAAAGTCATTTCAATTATGGTTGTCATGTGATCACTGTGCCATGTGTCCATCATGGACGAATGAATAAAAACATTTGCAAGCTACCTGATAGAAAAAAAACCCACTAATTGTGGTATGAAGAAATACCACGCTGCCGTATCAGCTTATATCCATCAAAAAAAAAAGATAGGTTGCCAGGCAACGAAACATACACCCACAGAAGCTAAGTCGTCTGAGCAGTCAACAAGAGTTGACGCATATTTTTTCTATTGTCTATGATGAAACATTTATAATACACTAAAATCTGATTTAGAGTAACAACTTATCAAGTAATTATCAGAAAATCATTAGAATTTTTTGGGCTTTTAGTTCTGCCCAATGGTAGGGTGACCCACCATAAATAAATATCTCCAAATATCTCGACAATTACGCCACAATATTTATATATATGCCAAGCGTCAAATCAGTTTCACACAATTATAGTCACTAAATAAACGATCATGTTGTACTTAATAAGCTATGACCATTAATCATCTATAAATAATAGACTGAAAACTGGTTCCAAGTGTCGTCCATAACATCCAGACACTTTTGAGTAAAAGATAGGTTACGTGCCCTTGTTTTGAAATTAGTCTCGCTTAACCAGTCTATCGACCATTCTACATCTGATTGACATGTCGGTGATAATCAAGACTACTTTTTTACGAAACATAACAGAAAGCTAGAACAAGAAATTGAATTTAGAAATAAGCACTTTAGACAACTCAACAATTGTTTTAAGAAACTTGTAAAAGTAAAATGAAACTACTGCTAGTATCATGTTCCTGTCTAACCCGAGTGTTTCAGAGATATCATTTGTACTAAACCAAAAGATTCTGCTCTTAACGGTACAGTTAATGATAAAGCAATTTAAAAAATAAAACAAACGTAATTTCTAAAGCTGCTGTAATAACCAAGAAACTAAATTTTACTGCTATTCAAAATCGTCAACAATAGATTTTTTACGGCTGTAATAGTTGATATATTTGTAGAGAATTGCAAGTGCCATGGCTATTTGTCGACTCAAAGAGAGTGCGGGGTAGTCAGAAATCAGTTCGAGACACGCAACTGAAGCATGCACATTTAGCCGTGTCGAGACCAACTTTCTGTAGAGTGCACGGGTCACCCTACCAATGGTAAGGTTGGGTATACGAAACATTTAATATCATGAATTTAGCTGTTCAAGTTATCAAAAGTCATTGAAAATCAATATACTTGTTTGTCTCAAGACCTTAAACTCTGTTTATCGATCTAAAGTCAATCGGATGATAACTTTGGTCTCTAGAGCGTCCACAAGATTTATCATAGGCCATAACTCTTGAAGTAATTATTGGAAATCATTGAAAATCACTGGGCTTCTATGTCTTGCGACATTAAACACTGTGTATAAATTTAAAGTCAATCGGATGTTAACTAGCCTCTAGAGCGTCCACAAGATTTTTCAAAGTGATCAAGGGCCATAACTCTGGCAAAAATTATTGGAAATCGCTGAAAATCAATAGGATTCTTCGTCTCATGACCTTAAACACTGTGTATCAATTTAACGTCAATCGGATATTAACTTTAGCCTCTAGAGCGTCCACAAGATTTTTCAAAGTGATCAAGGGCCATAACTCTGGCAGTAATTATCGGAAATCGCTGAAAATCAATAGGATTCTTCGTCTCATTACTTTATACACTGTGTATAAATTTAAAGTCAATCAGATATTAACTTTGACCTCTAGAGCGTTCACAAGATTTTTGGAAGTGATCAAGGGCCATAACTCTGGCAGTAATTATTGAAAATAGTTGAAAATCAATAGGCTTCCTCGTCTCATGACCTTAAACACTGTGTATAAATTTAAAGTAAATCGGATATTAACTTTGACCTCTAGAGCGTCCACAAGATTTTTTGAAGTGATCAAAGGCCATAACTCTGGCAGTAATTATCGAAAATCGCTGAAAATCAATAGGCTTCTTCGTCTCATGACCTTAAACACTGTGTATAAATTAAAGTCAATCGGATATTAACTTTAGCCTATAGAGCGTCCACAAGATTTTTTGAAGTGATCAAGGGCCATAACTCTGGCAGTAATTTTCGAAAATCGCTGAAAATCAATAGGCTTCTTCGTCTCATGACCTTAAACACTGTGTATAAATTTGAAGTCAATCGGATATTAACTTTAGCCTATAGAGCGTCGGACGGACGGACGGGGGCGACAACAATATACGACCACATTTCAATGTGGGCGAATAAAAACGAATACAGTAATTTATTCAGGAATATTCTTACATGAATTTCAAGCCGGTACGTGAATTAAATATGGAAAATTTTCCGAATGGTGTACATATTTGTCATTATTTTGGTGCTAATTACATACAGTAGAATACGATATCCCTCATAGATTACCAAGAATTATTTTTGTTTATGTCTGGTTATATTAAAGCGAATGGGAGATTAAAATTTTATAACACAGTTCCTACCGGGACGTCATTTGACCCAATTCTGGCCGGTTCGTTTCAGAATGGATTAAGAACCCTGATAATGAGCATTCCGGAACGGAATGCTGAAAGTCAAGAGGGTTCGTCTTCATTCGTGAACACAGTGCTTCAAAGAATCTGTAGCCTCTATTTTGTACACAAGGTTTACGACAAAGGGGGTAGCCCCTACGAACCTTCACAAGGTTTTCTGAAAAGGGGGCATAAATCAATGCTTCAAAGAATCTGTAGCCTCTATTCCGTACACAAGGTTTACGACAAAGGGGGATAGCCTCTATAGCATTCACAAGGTTTTTTGAAAAGGGGACATAACTGTAACAAGAAAAGTCACAGAACACTGAATACGGATAGAGGTCCTCTGATCACCCCAAGGCTCCATACCAAATCTTTTAAAAAACTAAAACCTCTATTGCATTCACAAGAGGATTGTCAACAGACCAAATGCCGGTCATAGGTAACAACATAATACACCTGCACTGAAATGTGTGTATTTTTTACATGTTCAAATTTGTATTGATATAAAGTGATAGTTGTACTTACTTCAATAATTATATCCGGTTCACTCAGATGATATTTCTGTTCAAAACTTGAGTCTAATATATACTTTATAGTAAACTTTAACATACCACCATATGATGACAGCTTTAAAATGCATATTAAAAAGTTTATTTATAAATGCAAAATGCAGAAATCCAGCATGAGTGGACAATGCCTCTTCAATATCATATTTTAATATGATTCATATTAAGGGCTGGTTAAGAATGTGTTGATAGAGCAGTTACTTGGTCTACTCTTGTGCTTTCATTGTACAGAGGTTTGATCTAGGTTAAAATAAGGTAAAGAATTATGTTGATCTGAGGAGTTATTTCAATTTACGATGGGACAAGCTCTACATGCATAAAATTAAATTTTTGTTCTGAAAGATTAAGCAGAACTTGGATTATTTTCTAATTTTAGTTAAATTTTTGGCTTTCCATGTCGAAAGTGGAACATACAATAGTATCTCAACACTGGTTTTATCTATAGAAATAAAGTTTTCAATGAAGACAGATTGGTCATCCCACTGGGTTACTGACATAATGTGCAATTGTTATTTCATTAAATAATAAAGAGTCAGTTGGTATAACCGTTATGACCACATCCCATACCATGAAACCAATCAACATATAAAATCCCAATGAAATCAACAATTCTATCTTTGACCTAAATCAAAGAACTCACTCTATTTCCAGTAAAAACCATTGGTGCCAACCAATAATGTATATCTGTTCCTGTGATTGGCCATGTACTGGTTCCTTCCACACCATTCCCACTTAAAATGTAAGTTTTAGCTTCCAGCCAACCATTAAATGATCTAGGTAATAATGTTAAACCATCTGTCATCCTTGTGGTTAAAACCCAACCATTCATTTCTGTTACCTGTACACATTAGAAACACACACAGTCTTTAGACATATTTTAGTGAATACAACAGTTAATTTTGTTTGAAGGACTTCTATCATTTCAATTCAACAAAACAGGGAAAGAAACGTTTCAATTCCAAATAAGGACAAATTTGAAAAATATTTACTTGAGATTTTCCCCAGTCAGTACTGTTACAAATTGTTGTAGCACCAAAACAGAAACATTTTGTACATCCATTAGGATTCTTTCTATCCAGGTTAAAGTACCCAGGCCGACACTGATCACAGTTAACACCTTCTACATTTCTCTGCAATACATTATTTAATACACAAATTCATTAAATGGCCAAAATATTGTGAATTTCCGTAAATTCAGATTCCACTCAATTTCAAATGAATTTTAAACTTGGGCATTATGTTTTGTTAATAACTGATTTTAATACAATGACGATTAATAAAAATAATTCTTGAATATCAAAAAAGACAATGAGATTAATAGGTAGATATTCTAACATTAATCCTGAAAACAATTAAATGTTGTGAATTACAGTACACCTCTTAAAGGGAATATTAACATTTTGGTACTATAAATAAATTAATATACATTATACCTTACACACACATCTTCTATCACATATTTCAGGATTAGCACTTCCTGCTGGATTACATGGACATGGTTTACAGTTGGGGTAGTCATAGTAACCAAACTGACACCGTTCACATCTTTTACCTCCAAACAAAGGTTTACAAATACAGTCTCCAGGTTTCTATAAAAAATAAAATTTAAATAAAAACTAATTTACAATAGAATGAGATCAATCTTGGGATTCTCATAAAAAAATAAATTGTGATATATATTAATAATACCATTTTAATCATTATGAGATTTGTGGTTTTATCTGGTTTTATCTCTGTAGGTAAAGCAACTTCAATTTGACAAGCCAGTATATTAAGTACCAGTGCAACAAAATCTTCACAACAGGTGGAGATAAGATGTAAAAATGTTAAAATTCCATCTTTTGAGATATTTATGTACCAAATACTACCAGAGAAAGATTTCTAAAAATGTTTGATGCAATCATGCATGGTGTAAAAGATTAGTCAGAAATGTCTTAATTTTATTCATTTGGGCACCCATTTGAGGTACGCCGAAGAAATTTCTTTGTCCACACTAAAATAAGTAATGTGTCCAAATTTTGTAAAAGTTGCCATGCTTTTATGCCATTACTGGGCTGCATGAAAGCATGGTACCTGCCAAACGAAACCATTAGCTAAGACTATCACCAAAGAACTTAAATTATGCCAAACCAAACATGCCATTTGGTGCAGAACACTTCGTAGCTATACTGGAATTAATAGTTTTTTCATAATTGATCAAAATAAACTTATAGTAGACACTTTAGAAAAAATCAATAAAAAAGTTAATGCAAAAACAATAGAAACATTCGATTTTTCTACTTTGTATACTATGCTTCAACATGCAGATCTTAAAGATAATTTGGATTGGTTTGTAGATAAAGCCTTTAATGGAGCTTTCGGGAAAGGCAGAAACTTGATGGCCATTTATGCAGAAGATGCTAAATGGATTAAAACAAACGTTGCAATGCCGACACTGTAGTTTTTGATAAAGAAAAATTTCAAAACATCGTACATTTCCTTATTGACAATGCCATATTTGAGGTTGGGGATCAGATAATACAGCAAACCATTGGTTTACCAATGGGAACTGACCCCACCCCATTTATGGCTAATGCACATTTATATAAATACCAATTCTACTTTCAAGACCATAAAAGAAAAACAGATTATAAAGTAGCTAAAAGTCTAAACTATACCTTCCGATACATTGATGACATAACACCTATCAATGATAAAGGAAATTTCAACAAATATAAAAGTGAAATATCCTCCTAAACTAATATTAAATAAAGAAAATTCTGGCACTATAAATGCATCTGTTCTTGACCTGGAATACCCATCAATCTATAGTAACATACCAGATACCACGTTATATAGTGTTTTCTATTCACAGGCATTACGATTTTTGACAATATGTAACAATAAAGAACTATTTCTCTCCCGAATAAAATCTCTTTTCTTTAAATGCACTGCAAAAGGTGGTACACAATTACGAATTTTAAAAGAAAATTTCAAAACTTCCATTTCTTCAACATACCAAGTTTGACATTTCTTATAGGTATAAAACCGACTACATACTGGATGATGATCAAATTTAAATTTTATTTTAGATTTTCTGTAGTTACCTAACCCTGTCTGAATTACCTCCCACGAAACATACGCCCACAGCAACTAAATCGTCCGGGCAGTCAACAAGGGTTGTCGCATATTTTTACTTTTTTCGGTAATGAAACATTTATAATACACTAAAATCTGATTAAGAGCAACAACTCAAGAAGTAATTATCAGAAAAACTATTAGAATTTGTTTGGTTTAGAGCATCACAAGATTTTGCAAAGTGATCAAGGGCCATAACTTTGGCAGTAATTTGGCAGAAAATCAATAGGAATCTTCGTCTCATGACCTCAAACACTGTGTATAAATTTAAACTCAATCAGATATTAACTTTAGCCTCTAGAGCATCCACAAGATTTTTTGAAGTGATCAAGGGCCATAACTCTGGCAGTAATTATCGGAAATCGCTGAAAATCAATAGGCTTCTTTGTCTCATGACCTTAAACACTGTGTATAAATTTAAGGTCAATCGTATATTAACTTTAGCCTCTAGAGCATCCACAAGATTTTTCGAAGTGATCAAGGGCCATAACTCTGGCAGCAAATATTTGAAATCGCTGAAAATCAATAGGCTTCTTCGTCTCATGACCTTAAACACTGTGCATAAATTTAAAGTCAATCGAATATTAACTTTCGCTTCTAGAGCATCCACAAGATTTTTTGAAGTGATCAAGGGCCATAACTCTGGCAGTAATTATCAGAAATCGCTGAAAACCAATAGACTTCATCATCTTATGACCTTAAACACTGTGTATAAATTTAATGTCAATCGGATGTTAACTTTAGCCTCTAGAGCATCCACAAGATTTTTTGAAGTGATCAAGGGCCATAACTCTGGCAGTAATTATCGGAAATCGCTGAAAATCAATAGGCTTCTTCGTCTCAAGACCTTAAACACTGTGTATAAATTTAAAGTCAATCAGATATTAACTTTAGCCTCTAGAGGGTCCACAAGCAATTGTGGATACCGGACGGACGGACGGACAGGGGGCGACAACAATATACGACCACATTTCAATGTGGGCGTAGAAAAACGATATTTTGAACAATCAGGGGCCATAATCCAGAAAGTTATGGTCTGAAATGCGCAAATATCAAAAGGGACTGAGATTTTTGGAATATAAAGATATGTTTTAAGTTTTATCAAAATCGGATAAAAATTGTGACCTCTAGAGGGTCCATAACCTTTGTATTACATACTTATACACAATTTGCGTACAAAGAACGCCCATTTTGTCGGTCAGTTTCATTTTGATTTTCTCGAAATTCCAATTCAACCTTCATTATGGTGGAATGGTGATATATCTAAACGGTTTTTAAAAAATTGTGACCTCTAGAGAATCCACAAGGTAAAAATGTGATTTTTCGACCAATCAGGGGCCATAATCCAGGAAGTTACGTTCGGATATGTGTAATTATCAAAAGGAACCAAGATCTTTATGACAAAAACATATATTTAAAGTTTCATCCAAATTGGATAAAAACTGTGGCCTCTAGAGGGCCCACAACCTTGATATAGTGATGTTCTCCAGAACCGGATGTGACGTCATGCGAAATAACTGGTTGGCAGAAAGTGGTTCCAGCCAGCGCGGATTATAGTAAAATTGGCTGACACGAGCGATAATGTAATGTTTCAATTGTTTGGCACTTACACATCAGCGTATTTCCAGTTTTTGGTGTTAGATGCTAAACATAGATATAAATGTAAGTTATCTTACGATTCGGAAACGAAGGTTTTGCCAGATCCATACAGTTTGAAAGACAAATGGAGCGGAGATCCGAACACGTGTCTGCACCTGACTTTTGGTGACATTTGATTTACCTCTACCCTATGATTATGATACACCATCATTGTACACTAAAGAATCCATGAAAGCTTATAAATCATTAGAGGCGCATAAGTAAGTTGAAATTTAAATCAAATATGAATTTATATTTAAGACTTAATTTAATTATGTCGTTTATTGATCTACCGGTATATAAACAGCTTTTCCATCCATAGTCATAAATAATTATCATTATCAAGCAAGACTGCAAGTAATAAATTGGTGCATGTAAAAATTTATTGTTATTATTACTGATTTGATAAAATCTATCATTCATTACAATTTTTTTTTTCAGGTAAAGCTTACCGTTACAAGAGATTACAACCAGAACATAATTTTTACTTTAGATAGGACCAACACGTCTTCAAGATCAGAAAAAGACCCACTAAACTTAATAGACCTGTTTTTTTATATAATTTAGATAAAAGCTGTTACATCAACATGTATGTTAAAAATTGTTAACTCAACTTTAGAAACTAAAACAATAATTTTCCATCAATCTCTTTTCAATTTCCATGGTACACATGCTACTTGTTGACACCTGCTTGGTACATATCTTTGTACATAGAGCAGAAAGGACCTCAGTTATGGAATTCATTGCCAAATAATATTAAAAATATAAGCTCAATCAGCTTCCACGTTGAGCCATGTATAACATATTTTGTATTATACTATTCATACCTATCTTCGAGCAAATACTGTTCATATATATATTTGTATAATTCTATTCATACCTCTCATAGTATAAATAATTTTCACATTTATCAAACAACACATCTAAAATATTTATTATCATTATGTAACCGCATTTTATGCATGCTTGATGTTGTTAAAATGGGAAAAATGTAAGAAAGGCCAGCCAGCCATTTGTAAACAACCGATATTGCCAACCAATCGAGTCACGCGACTAATTGTGACGTCACGCTGAACATCACTATACCATATTTTTACACTATTTGCGTACAAAATTCAGCCATTATGTCCGTCAGTTTTTTCTGATTTTCACGAAGTTCAAACTCAACCATCATTATTGTATAACTGTGATATATTCGCACGATTTTTTAAATCGGATAAAAATTGTGACCTCTAGAGAGACCACAAGCTAAAAGCATGATTTTTCGTACAATCAGGGCCATAATTCAGGAAGTTACAATCTGATATGCCGAATATCAAAATGAACCAAGATCTTTGGGTTACAAACATGCATTTCAAGTTTTATCAAAATCGGATCAAAATTGTGACCTCTAGGAGGTTCACAAGCTAAAAACGTGATTTTTTGTACAATCAGGGGTTATGGTCCGATACATGCCAATATCGAAAGGAACCAAGATCTTTGGGAGATAGACCTATATTTCAAGTTTCGTCAAAATCGGATAAAAATTGTGACCTGTAGAGTGTCCACAAACAAATTGTGGACGGACAGACGAACAGGAGCGACGAAAATATACGTCCACATGAAAATGTGGGCATATAAAAATGTAACCATTACTAAAGGCAATATATAACATATGAGTGTTCTGGGTGTTTTATAATATAAATATTTACCAGATCTTCATGTAGTTTTGTGTCATCTGGCAAACATCTTGAGGTGGAAGTCTGTGTTTCCTGACAGTTACATCGTCTACATGGTTGGTCAGTAGTAGCTGCTATTCCAGCTGGTCTATAATATCCTTCAATACAAGTCTCACAATTAACACCACTTGTATTATCCTAAAATAACACCATCATCTTATATTTTAACAAAACAAATTCCTTCTGTTTAAACTATTATAAAGAAAATGAACAAAAATAGAAAATTGGTCCATTTTCTGCATAAAATCATCCATTTGTTCAATATAGTATACTCTTCTTTCAAATTATACAAAGGCCACAAAAATATTCAAATATTTCCATTCAAATGGATTTTCTGGTATTGTTATTCAATATCAATTAAAACTAATGGTATTTAATAAGCTTTTTCTCATAAAGTCAGTATTTGATATTAGTCGAGCAAAATCAAGTAATATTCAGAAATAAAGGAAAATTGTGAAAGATTCACAATTATTGCATCAAAAACGACCCGATAATTTAATATTTGAATTGAATGGATTCATGACTTAAGATATTTAAATATTTAAATGGTAAAATCAGCATTCAATGTTACCACTAGTACAATATGACATTAACATAAACATGAAACAACAATAATATGAAGACCAGCAGCTGCCAGGCATGATATGCCCACATTTTGCAAGAGATGGATCGAGAACAAGCTATAAACAAAAATGATTTTTTGTACAATCAGGGGCCACAATCCAGGAAGTTATAGTCTGAAATGCGCAAATATCAAAAGGGACTGAGAATTTTGGAATATAAAGATATGTTTTAAGTTTCATTTAAATCAGATAAAAATTGTGACCTCTAGAGGTCCATAACCTTTGTATAACATACTTCTACACAATTTGTGCACAAAGAGCGGCCATTTTGTTGCTCAGTTTCATTTTGATTTTCCCGAAATTCCAATTCAATCTTCATTATGGTGGAATGGTGATATATCTAAACGTTTTTTAAAATTGGAAAAAAAATTGTGACCTCTAGAGAATCCACAAGCTAAAAATGCGATTTTTCAACCAAGCAGGGGCCATAATCCAGGAAGTTACATTCGGATATGTGTGATTGTAAAAAGGAACCATATTTTTACACTATTTGCGTACAAGATGTGCCCATTATGTCCATCAGTTTTAGGCAGATTTTCACGAAATTTAAACTCAACCATCATTAGTGTATAACTGTGATATATTCACATGTTTTTTTTAAATCGGATAAAAAATTGTGACCTAGGAATAGGGACCACACGCTCAAAACAAGATTTTTCATACAATCAAGGGCCATAATTCAGGAAGTTATGATTTGTTATGCGCGAATATCGTTAGGAAGTAAGATCTTTGGGTTATAAACATGCATTTCAAGTTTCATCAAAATCGGATGAAAATTGACCTCTAGGAGGTCCACAACCTTGATATACCAGATGTTTACACTATTTGTGTACAAGGGGTGGCCAGTTTGTCCGACAGTTTTGGTCCGATTTTCACGAAATTCAAACTCAAACATCATTAGGGTGTAACGATGATATACTAAAACATTTTTTTAAATCGAATAAAAATTGTGACTTCTAGAGGGACCACAAGCTAAAAGTGCGATTTTTCGTACAATCAGGGGCCATAATTCAGGAAGGTACGATCCGATATGTGCAAATATTGAGAGGAACCGAGATCTTTGGGTTATAAACTTGCATTTCAAGTTTCATCAAAATCGGATCAAAATTGTGGCCTCTAGAGGTTCCACAACTTTGATATACCAGATGTTTACACTATTTGCGTACGAGGGGCGGCCATTTTGTCCAGCAGTTTTGGTCTGATTTTCATGAAATTCAAACTCAAACATCATTAGAGTGTAACGATGATATACTAAAACATGTGTTTAAATCAAATAAAAATTATGACCTCTAGAGGGACCACAAGCTAAAAGCGTGATTTTTCGTACAATCAGGGGCCATAATTCAGGAAGGTACGATCCGATATGTGTGAATATTGAGAGGAACCGAGATCTTTGGGTTATAAAGTTGCATTTCAAGTTTCGTCAAAATCAGATCAAAAGTTCAACAACTTTGATATACCAGATGTTTACACTATTTGCGTATGAGGGGCGGTGATATATTCAAACGTTTTTTTAAATCGGATAATAATCTAGACCACAAGCTAAAAACAAACGATTTTTCGAACAATCAGGGGCCATAATTCAGGAAATGGAAATGAACCAAGATATTTGGGTTAAAAACATGCATTTCAAGTTTCATCAAAATCAGATGAAAATTGTCACATCCAGATGATCCACAACCTTGATTCTGTAATTCTGTAAGTTATGGTCCGATATGCGCGAATATCAAAAGGATCCGAGGTCTGTGGATTATAAGCATACATTTCAAGCTTAAACCAAATCGGAGAAAAATTGTGACCTCTACAGTGTTCACAAGCTAAAAATGTGATTTTTTTTTGGTACAATCAGGGGCCATAATCCATGAAGTTACAGTCCGATACATGGCAATATCGAAAGGAACCGAGATCTTAGGGTGATAAACCTACATTTCAAGTTTCATTGAAATTGGATAAAAATTGTGACCTGTAGAGTGTTCACAAACAATTGTGGACGGACGGACAGGAGCGACGACAATATACGTCCACATGAAAATGTGGGCGTATATGTATAATTTGCAATGGTAATAACCTGACATAACTTCCATTAAGACATACTCTGAAAAAAACAGGAAGACAAGTATTTAAGTGTATAATAAACGTCAATGAGCTAACCTGACAATTGATACAGACACCACCTCCATCATATTGACCTTGTTTATTTAAACTCAGACCTAGAGCTGCTATCGTACTATTATATACACAATCACTAGCTTGTCCGTGACAATTGCACGCTGTAATTAAACAAAGTTATAACAATCTATTGGTTGTTCTTTTGTTTAACAATGGTTAAAGAAATAAATCATAACTTTTGCTAATGGTGTAAAAAGGGGTAATTTGGACGCTGCTAGTATTAAGTTATATTTATAGCATGGCTTTCATGAGGTAACAGGTTTAAACATCGAGGCGGTAGGACGAAATGTTAAACCTGTTAACGAATGAAGCATGCTATAAATGACTTGTAACATTGACACTTGCTCAACATGTTTGTTGTTATTGCACAGACCCCCCACCCCCTACTATATATATAAAGTTGTCTTTTGTCGAGTGCAATAACATTGAACATGTCTAGTTATTGCACGGTTAAGCTCCACCCAATCTACTAGAGGGAAAACAATCTGCTTATTCAATGAAAAGAACAAAGGAAGATTTCCCTTCCATGTTACAATTCAACATATGAGATAACATAATTATTAGAAGAAACAGAAAGTTAGTAACCAAGCAATACAATGTTACAGAAGAAACTGGGCTATGTAACAGTTCAGGCGCGGATCCAAGGGGGGCCCAAGGGGGGCGCACCCGGCGCACGCCCCCCCTAATTCCGCGGCAAGGTGTAAAAAAAAAAAAATTGTGGTGTAAAAAAAAATTTAAACTAAAAACGAACGAGCCAATGCAGCAAACTTTTGTACACGTTCACTCTCATATAAAACATGACCACACCCCTTGACTTTAGCGCAAAAATATGTACACGCCATGATCCCACAAAGGATCTTACCTACGGCAATCGGATATCTGTCACGTGTACAATGGTCAGCTGACGTCACACCACCAATGCGCCGCAGATGCGCTACAGACAGGTAGCCTAATCATGTCAAAAAAACGAAAGTTGCAGTCATCTCTCGTGGATTTATTTGCGAAGAGTTGAACGGCCGCCATGTAAGGCATGTTTCAACCGGGATTTCAGGCCATACTTATTTTTAATCTTGGTCCCGCAACCAGCCTGCAGGCCCCAAAACTTATGTGACCCAAAAGATTATCGCCGGTCTATAGATGGGTGGGGCTGTAAACTCTAAGTATGACTAATTTAACCAACAGGATACACCCAAATATTTATAGGGGATTTTATATTCGTTATTCTCTTAATTTGGAGTGGATTAAATATTCTATATATTGTGTGACTTAAATACGTAGGCTAAATGGTACCTAACCAAATTTGACCGATCATGGATATACATTACCTCACAGAACTTTACCTGTCTAAGGGCTCACTTACCAAGGGACAGGTAAAGTTCTGTGAGCAGCATGATTTCTGCATCAGCATGACCAGATTCTAAAAAAAACACGCTCATCTTTGGAAAAGAATTTTGAACCTTCTTTCATAAATCACTACCTCCTTCAAACCACGTGCCTTTCCTTCTGTCGGACTTTTTTCAGAAATTTTTCAGGCAGTAGACTACCGATCTGTTCCTGATGATTTTGCAGACAAAAAACACTGAAAATAGGGTGGGAGTTGTGTTTAATATTTGGAGATCAGATGCCAGGAAATCGCATATATGGAGTCTTATCTTAGCAAATTTTATGTGGGAGGTCCCCCAGACCCCCCGCAGTTGCTTCGCTCCTGCGGCGCTCATGATTCGGGCTTCGCCCTCAAAGTACGCCCCCCCCCCTTCGAAATATTCTGGATCCGCCCCTGCAGTTACATTATAACAGAACATTATGCCAGTGACTGGGAAACAGGGAAAATTTTGACTAAAACCAGAGGTACCAGGACTATGTAAATAAAAAAGAATCTAAAATAAATATATTAACATATATATTAGCCCAAGAAATCCCTCTCTGACCACTGCTGGATTGGCTTCTGATACTTGAGCTTTTGAGGGAGTGTGTCTATTCTTCCCGTTTAATCAAATCTATCCCAAGTACAGCAACATGACAGCCCTTCGTTTAATCTGGACAGTGATTTAAGGTATTAAAAATGGTGATAGTATTGTTCGTCTCCAAACAGTATTGTTTACATTGTATCCATGTTGATAGTCTCTTTTGTCACGCAGTTAGTTTTTCTGCAATATTCTGCTATGCACTGGTAAATTGGGCAGAATAAAATCGTGTGTTATGACGTAACTTTATGTAAACATATATGGTCCAATTTGGAGCTCTGTTTAAAACGTAATGATATTGTTACACAGTTAGCTATTGGTTGTTGGGATCAAAACATATACATTAAGTGTCATCACCGCCATTATTAGGGTGAAACAGTGATATTTTAAAACAATTTTTTAAAATCAAATAAAAATTATGCCCTATAGAGGAGCAACAAGCTATAAACACTAATTTGTGTACAACCAGGAGCCATAATCCAGGAACCGAGATCTTTGGGTTATAAACATACCGTTTAAGTTTCATCAAAATCGGATAAAAATTGTGACCTCTACAATATCGAAAGGACATGAGATCTGAGGGTGATAAACCTATATTTCAAATTGTGTCATGTAGAGTGTCCACAAACAAATTGTGGACTTACGGACAGGGGCGACGACAATATACGTTCATATGAAAATGTGGGCATACAAAAATAGTGAGGTATTCCTATTTTTATTACATGCAGATTTGAATATTTTGTTGACATTTTATAAAGAAGAAAACGATGTATTGACATCACAAACGATTCTTATTTCGGAGATTCTGCATTCATTTGCTGTTAAAGGAATATTACCACTGTGAATTTGAAGTCGAGGCAGGATCGGCAGGCTTTCATTCAATCAATGTTTTACGAAAACACGTAATTTTGTAGGAATATTAACCTCTATGGGGTCCACAAGCTAAAACGCAATTTTTCTTACAATCAGGGGCCATAATTCAGGAGGTTATGGTCCGATATGCGCGAATATCGAAAGGAACTGAGATCTGTGGGTTATAAACATACATTTCAAGTTTAAACCAAATCAGATAAAAATTGTGACCTCTACTAGTAAGTGCAGGAGGACCGCACTACACGTAAATCTACAAGATAAACCTGCGGACAAGGCAGAAAATAGACATTGCACCAAAAAAAACAAATATCAAATCAAGTGAATGGATCTGGGGCCAGCTGTAAGCGTCCACTGCGCTGTACAGTCCCGGGCCTGTAGTGACACAGACTTCACTCAAATTTGAAAACAATCAGGAATACAAACCAGCGGCTGCCAGGCAGGATACGCCCACATTTTCGAGAGATGGATAGAGAGCAAGCTGAAAAGAAAGTGATTTTTCCTACAATCAAAGGCCATAATTCATGAAGTTACAATTCGATATGCGCAAATATCGAAAGGAACCAAGATCTTTGGGTAATAAACATGCGTTTCAAGTTTCATCAAAATCAGATTAAAATTGTGACCTCTACAGAGTCCACAACCTTGATATACGATAATTTTACACCATTCGCTCACAAGCGGAGGCCATTTTGTCCGGCAGTTTTCGTTTGATTTTCAGGAAATTCAAACTCAACCTTTATTACGGTGCAACGGTGATATAATCAAGCGTTTTTTTAAATCGGATAATAACTGTGACCTCCAGAGGAACCACAAGCTTAAAAAGCGATTTTTCCTACAATCAGGGGTCATAATTCAGGAAGTTACGATTCGATATGCGACAATATCGAAAGGAACCAAGATCTTTAGGTCATAAGCTGAATAAGCTTGTGCATGCTTTTACTTGTATAAATAGAATTGTTACTTTGATCAAGAAGGCGTTACTTGATTGCTGACCCCGTACTCTGCACGGACAATTCGTGAAACGGTAGGACCCGAAGTCTGAAATGGTTGGGTTGGGTTGGGTTGGGTTGGGTTTGAATTATATTAATTTGTTTTAAAGGGACTCAGGTTATATGGTACAAATTTGAAAATACCAATAATAATGTAAATAGATATTCACACAATTTTCAGTGCTCAGAATTTCAGATATCTGTAAATCTGAAAATTTCCATTCATCCTTAAAAGATCTACCTTTTCAGTATGTGCTTAAACAAAAATGGATAATCGAGACTATGTTTTTTTATTGTACCGACTTTAGTAATGATGATCGAGGCTAAGCCTAAAATTCAAATGCTAATATCGTGGTTCAGAGTGGAGCAAGTTGACTGAAATTTCCAGCATATTCTATTCACATTATCTGTTTTTGATTATTATAGTGAGAACTGCCAGTTCTTTATCTAATCTCCCATAATGCCTCTTTAAGATTTTTCTTTTTCAAAATTTTTCTCTGTCGCAAACTTTTGAGGAAGCCTAATGCAGACCTATTGTAAAAGTTGATATCGCTTCAACATTCTAGGATGTAATAATATTAGATGGACGAGAGCTGATCATGTCAGTATCATCTGTAGACTTGGAGCATTTTGGTGGTGATATACTAAAATAATCTGACATTCTTCTATCGGACGTTGACGAAGGCTGTTCAATTTTTCGCTTACGACCCATGGCATGTGATTTGATGATAACTGACTTTCGACAATTATAAACTGTAACAACAAACCTGGTTTCATTTATTAACAATACGGGCAAAGGGGTAAGAAAATGATAAAACAGACGTCATAATTCAATAATCCCAAACAAATCGAGCATTATTCACAGTATTTTGAATATATAGAAACCGTCAAAAAAGTCACCGATTCATCTTTGAAGACAAGAACTGGCGACACAGGCAATAGACAACTGTTCTGTTCACAGACGAGTCAGTATTGCGTATCAACTGCAGATGGCAGGACCAGAATATGGTGTCGACATGGCTAGCGTTATTTTGACCAATGTGTCATGGAACGAGACTCATGGGGAGGTCCAAGCATAATGGTTTGGGGTGGAATCGGCCTAAACCAGAGAATGGGCCCTGTGGTGTTCCAAAATCTTGGTAGAGGGAGAGGACGCGGCATCACAGCAGTGCACTACATCGATCAAGCTCTCAGACCCCACATTATACAACAATTCGCACGTCATCAAAACGTTTCCAGCATGACAACGCCCGTGCTCACACCGCCAGAGTTACTCGAGACTTACTACAGCAGAACGGTGTTAAAACGTTATGCACTGGCCAGCCCTTAGTCAGGACTTCAACCTGATTGAACACCTTTGGGATGAAATTCAGAGGAGACTTAATAACGTCATACCGAGACCAAACACAGCCGATGGATTGCGCCAGGCTTTTCTGAAAGTGTGGTTCCAGGTGCCAATGGCGTTCATGAATCGTCTGGTCCACTCCATGTACAGACGCTGTGCTGCTGTTATTGACACTCCCGGTGGACACACCAGATACTGATGTATAGACTAAACCTTCTCGTAATGTCTTGGAATTGTGATGAATTAATCACTAATGTGACAACATACTGTTCACAAAAAACTGCTTTGATCCAATTAGTAAGTCGTTTTCTAGAATGATTTGATTAAAGTGCCTCTCAGATTTTGAAATCGTACTGACGTTTTTTTTTTTTGCTGTTTAGTATATTATATATATTACATTCCCATTTCAATCAAACTATGTAACAAGTTACACATATAAATGATAAGTAACAAATAAAAACCTTACATCAAATAATTGGCAAACGAAAACTATCAAGTTGAAGAAAATACTAAGAAGTAAAAAGCAAACAAAAATGAGTAAATAGCCCCTTTAAAACAGAACCCATCAAACTTAAATTACCTTCACATTGGAAACCATTACCATTTTTGCCTCTTCCCCATTGTTTTTGGTTAAATCCAGGGCAGCATTCTTCACAGTTTTTACCACAAGTGTTGTGTTCACACTGACATTGTAGATTCTGCAGAAAAAATGTTCAAGGTATATTTTATCTTTATCATAATTACAATCTACCATGATTTATATGTGTTATGAATAAGGATATATAAAATCAGAATCTCATTTTTCAACTATATTCAACAAAAAGTATATGATATACTATCTCACAGATATTAAAGAGCACCGATAAAACCTGTTGTGAGACCCCCCATATGCAGTCATTTGAATATGTGTTACAAGTCCCAGTGAAATTCCGATGCATAAGGGATGCTGGGATATGTCTGAGCAGACGGTAATCAAGCAGACGAAGAAAGCGCGCGAAATGGCGATGTAAGGCTGGTTTGCCGGCGGTTAGCCCATCGTTCCATTGTTCTTCTAGAATGTCAATTATGATATAAGTAGATTGCACGGGTAGTTCACTGATTTCTTTACTCGTTCATACTATGTCGAAGTCAAGCTTAGGTGCTGGCGGTTAGCCCTTCGACAAAACAAGTGGGGGTTAGTTACATGTATTCCTTCATATTGTCCTGAGATGTAGGCCTATAGTAGTATAGAAGAAAGTCGTGTGAAAGATGTGAATTCTACGAGATCTGGCTCAAAATCAATAGCAAGTGTTTAGTAAAGGTGACATTTTATTATTAACCAAATAAACTTTATTATATACCTTATGTAATAGACTTTGCTTCAAGAAATAATAACATGGGTGATGGGTCACCGTTAACTTAGACTGAGTTCACTGAGCCCTTCTTGACCACTCTATTTTGGATATAAAAAACTCTCTGTTTTTCGTTCTTGGCATGTCCAAGGCCAGGGGCGTGACAGAATTTTGGCGACGAGGATGGGATCCAAACTTTGTTGAGTGTTTGTCTATGGGATTTTAAGAACTTGGTATGAAAAGAAAACTTTTAAAATTAACTTTCTTAACATTATTTGTTCTATTAATATTATGCCGATTTTCAACGTGTGCTGTAGACCATGTGACTTTGAACTGTCGTCTTGACAACTGTGAAGCTTTCAATATGTTAAAATCAAATGATGAAGTAATAATAAGTAAAGGGGATGAAAATACCGATAAGGAATTCGAAGTACTTGAAAGAAGATTGTCGTCAATGATGGAAGGTTTAGGGGATTTGAGTTCCAAGGTTTTAACTTTTGACTGATACTGTTAATCGTTTAGTAAATGACCAGGCTTTGCGACCTATGGTTACAAACAATGCTACACACAGTAATGAAAATAATGGAAAGAATAATAACGTTCATGCTGGTAATTCAAGTGTACCGAGCAGTGATAATGCCAACACTTCCAACAATAATACACCTAGCACTCTAAGTAATGTTTCAAATAATACAAGTGTATCCAAAGATAATAATAATGACACAAGCACACCAATTTATCGTGCATTCGAACAACCTAAATTGCATTGTTTATTAACTAGTATTTCAATTTGCGGATCTACAGAACTTGATGGACTTACTTTAATACATTTCCTTAAAATATTTGAAGAAGAGTGCAGAATCAGTAAAGTTTCAAACAGTATAAAACCCAATTTATTCATTATGCAGTGTATATAACCGGCTCGTTCTTTGTTTAGATCAGCAGTTAAAAATTGGAATTCATGGCCAAACTTTAGAAAGGAACTTATTCAAGTATTTTGCACTCAAGCAGACCGTGCACACGCTACCAGGGCACTTTTAGTTATTGAGCACCATTTTAATGAGAAATACTGGACTTCGATGGATAGAGTGCGTAGTTTATCATATCAGACTTACAGTAACGAAATAACTTTCGATGATGAGGGTAATTTTTGTGTTGATTCTTCAGTTCAGATGAATAGTCGAATTACGGACAGATTTATTCAGTGTATTAAAGATAGGACATTAAAGGGTGTTATTATTGGAGAACTTAGCAGAGAACCCGGTTGTAGGAAGGACCCTGATTATATTGCTCGTTTTGCGGATCAAACTTCCCAGTATTTGAAATACACTGACAATGAAACGTTTGACACTAATACATCAGATCGTCCGGTTCGTCGAGTGAACAACTTTCATGTAGATAGGCACCAGGGTAGTTGTGGAGCTGTAAATAGATTTTATAATGATGTTGAACAAGTAAATAACCCAGGATTGCAAAACTTTGATGGGCTAAAATACGGTTTTGATAGGAATAGGGACTTTTTCCATCCTAGAAGTAATTTTTACAAACAAAGGAACAATTTTCATCGAGACAGACAGAATTTTGATAAACCCGCAAGTTTTGATCGATTTTGTAGTCATACAACCAATTCAGGAACCAAATCAGGCGAACGGAATACACATGATAGTTTTCGCAGAAATAATGATTCCAGTGCAAATGTTATTGATACTAAAGAGAAACCGAAGTCTGAAATGCAATGTTACAGGTGTTCTGGTTTTGGACATTACAAAAACGAGTGTCCCAGTGTGCATAAAACTTTTGAGTCTAGTACAAATTTTCAAGGTAATCTAAGGACTGAGGGAAAACCAAATGACTTTAGTAATACGAATACAGTTCATGTGAATAGTGAGACAACACGAATCGAAGATGTTTGGCAAGATCTTCGAAACATGGAACATTCCCCATATTGTTTTGAACAATTAACTGGTCATATTTCTAGTAGTTTTAGTCCAGGAAAGAGAGTATTCGTGAATATGCATATTAATAATGCAGATGTGTGAGCATTGAGTGACACAGGAGCTGATGTGTCAATAGTTAGTCAACAATGGATGGACTGTAATTTGCTAAACACTAAGTTGAAGACAGTTAATGTTAATCTATCAGTAGCATCGAATGAAAACTTGCCCATTAAAGGTAGCTTCACTGTCAAAATTGACTGTGGTAACATATACTCACATAACCTGTTGGTAGCCGAAACTTTAAACTGTGATGCAATAATTGGTACAGATTTTATGAGGAAACATGGTTGCCAAATTGACTTAAATGACAACTTGTTTATAATTAATGAGTACAAGTTACCTTTAGTTTCTTACGATGGCGAGCTGTTCATCAAGCGGAAACCTCTCCCTAAAAACAGTGTAGCTTTGTTGAAAAATACATTGGTTCCAGCACATTCTGAGAAAATTATTCCTGCTAAAATATCATGAATTAGATGGCCGTCAGTTTTGTTTACATCACGGATGAAAACAGACTCATTTTCACAGACAGTTTTGTTAAGCCTAGCCAGAAAAACTTAGTCAATCTGATGATTTCAAATATAACTGAGTGTAATATCTCAATTCCTAGAGGGACTGTTATTGGACAAATTGAAGAAGTAGATGCATTTTTTCATGAGTTAGTTTATGTTGATGTGAGTACTTTATTCAATGTTAATCGTATTGTGCTAGAACAGTTTGACCTGTGCTTAAATTGAGTTACTTTAGAGAAATCACCAGATGACATTAAAGGACAAAATTTAGTTAAGTTTTACAATATAAATGTTTCTCCTCACACCAAATCTAAGGACATTTGTGTAGAACTACATCATCTATTTTCTAGAAATAAGTGGGACTTGGGTAAATGCGATATCGTTCCTCATGTCATCCAGTTAAAACCGGATGCCAAGCCTATACAGTCTTTACCTCGCCGTGTTCCATATCATTTACATGAAGATCTCAAAGAAGAGCTTCAACATATGCTTGATGCAGGCATAATTGAAAAAACTAACAGTGAATGGTCTAGTCCCTTAGTCATTGTACAAAAGAAAGATTCGGGGGGTATTCGTATTTGTGTTGATCTAAGACGTCTTAATGAACAAGTTTACAATGAGACATTCCCAATTACAAATATAGAAGATATTTTGACTCAGTTTCATGATATGAAGTATTTTTCCTCCATTGACTTGCGTTCAGGATTCCTACAGCAAACTTTAGACCCTGGTAGTAAACGGATTACAGCTTTTGTATGCCTCGAAGGGACATACCAGTATTGAAGGACCCCATTTGGACTAAATAGGAGCCCAGGATTATTTTGTAGGATGATGAAAGCTGTATTCCGTGATTTTGTAGGTACAATCTGTTATGTTTACATAGATGATATAATCATTTTTAGCAAAGATGAAGATAGTCATTTGGAATCAATACGTAAAGTTTTGACGCGTCTATTAGAACATAATTTACACATAAACCCTTCGAAGTGCAGATGGTTTCAAGAACAAATTTCTTTCGTTGGTTATAAGGTTTCTGTGAATGGAATAGAAATGGACCCAGATCGAATAAAAATTATTAGGAAATGGCCTCAACCACAATGTGCTAAAGACATAAGGAAGTTTTTAGGCATGTTACAGTACTATCGAAAATTTGTGAGTGGATTTGCTGAATTATCTGCACCTTTGACGGAATTAACGAAGGAAAGGGTAGTTTGGAATTGGACTGATAAACAAGAAAAAGCTTTTCAGAAATTGAAGACTTTATTAATAACACCGCCCATTTTAACTCATCCTTATTTCAACGAACCCTTTACGTTAACGACGGATGCGTCTGGATTTGCGATAGCAGGGGTACTTTCACAGGTGATTAACGGAGAAGACAAACCAATTGCATTTGGTTCTAGACAATTAAATGGAGCTGAAAAGAATTATAGTACTCATAGAAAAGAAGCGTTAGCCATTGTGTATTTTGTACAAAAACATAAACATTTTCTTTTGGGTAGGAAATTTACTATCCGTACTGACTGTCGAGCTTTAGTGTATATGATGTCAACTACATCGAAACAGTCTGCTATATTAGCTAGGTATTTAGAAATATTATCCAGTTTTTCTTTTGATATAGTACATAGACCAGGAGCGTGTAATTGTGTCGCAGATGGTTTATCACGTTATCCTCCATATGAAAACTGTAAAAATTGTCCAGTAAATAGAGTTAGTATTGCCAGTGTTAACCTTCAAGACTCTTCGTGTTTATCAGTTATTTCAAAAGAGGAAATGGAATTAGCCCAAGGATGGCAATTTAAAAGTGCTTTATAATTGGCTAGAAAGGGGTTATAAATTCCTGATAATAATTCAGTTTTGC